CAATCGAAGAATCGAAAAAAAATAAAAATAAAGGAATAATAAATATTTATTTTACTTTTTAAAGTATTCACTTTGAAATAAATATGTACTGTTAACGTGCACATTTGGCATGTTCAGGAAATATTAATTAGAAGACTAAAACTCAGGGGCTTCAATTAACATTTTTTTAAAAGGATTTTCAGTCCAATTAGTTCGGATTTCAACAATACGAAACTTTGTAATTTAACAAAACAAAAAAAAATGTTAAAACAATGTAAACAATTTTTAATTGTTCTGGAAAATGTTAAACTAAAAATAATCCAAATTTAATATTCATATTTAATAATACAAAATTATAAATGTATGGAATTTTTGGCGTTGGTGAAGTTTTACAGAATTTATATTCAACGATGTAGAAAAAAAATGTTTTTTTTAATTAAATTAAATTTTTATATATTTTTGTATAAAAATTATTTTGCATTTTATTAAGAATTTTATTTTCAAAACTTTTATTGAAATAGTTGAGAAAAATGATTTTTTTTCATTGAAAGAAAAAAATTGTCAAAAAAACAGTTTTTGGTTTTGGATTTATAAAATATTATTTTTTTTTTTTCTCAATCGTTGGATGAACTTCACTGACGTAATTTCTGAAAATATGATAATTAAGAGTTAAAAAACCAACCATAAATTTTAGAATTATTAAAATAATAAATAAATATAATTAAAAGTGTTTTTTTTTTTTGACAATTCATTTGGCACTTTACGACAGAACATAATTTCCACTAATTTCAAATTTTTCTTGATTCGTCGAATTTTCAAATTTCTGCTTTTATATTATTCTTATCTACAGTATGAATAGTAAAACAAGCAATTCTGATAACAAAAAAAAAGATCTTATCGAATATAATTCTTTTTTGTTCATAGAAAAAAAAATAGGAGCAAATTAGTTAAATAAAATTTAAAAACCTGCGATGATTATTAAACTATGTAATTACAGACTTTAATAATGTCGCATAAACTAAGTTTAATTACATAACGATAGAATCAACCTAGAAAAAACATGAACATTCACTGAAAATTCTAGTCTTTGAATTTACAATCGATTCAATGCAGTCCTTAAACGTCGACCTTTAAACCAAGAGTTGCTTTCAGTTCATTTACTTTGAGACAGAAAACTCTTTATGAATATACATATACATAATAATACATTCTCTCTTAACGCCACGTCATTTATGAGAGAATTTTGATCAAAGGAAAAAAAAAACGAGGAAAAGAAGAGAAAAGTGAATAAGAAAAAAAAGAGAAAAAAGAAAAAAATTGAAAGAAAAAAACGAAAAAAGAGAAAAAAAGGGAAAAAAGAAAAATAGAAAAATATGATATATTAATATTGATGATAACAAAATGAAAATTAGTTTTAAAAAATATTCGTTAAAATTCGAATTACAGGATATTAATAAGAAAATTATAAATAGCGATTGTATTCACGTGCAACGAAGTGTGTTTCCGAACTGTAAAAATTGCTTTTTATCACAATTGTAAATATATTTTTTTTCAAACAACCGACTTTGCGATACCACCTACGCTTTTAATACAGGAAAGCTTTATCAAAAATTTGATTCGAAATACTACGTGTTTAAAAATTTTTGCATAATATAAAACTACAATCATTATTGTTACCGTCCAGTATTTATAATTCAAAGCACGTGTTTTTGCAGTCAAATTTGAATAAGCATACAGTAAATATTGAAAAAAAATGACATACCTATTGAAATAACGATTTTCAGCGAATTGTTTTCAAGTCTTAAAAAAAGCAGATTACATACCAAACATATGGTAAAGCCAAATTTTATGATCCCGAGATTATAAAAAAAAGAAAAGATAAATTATCAAAAAAAATTTTCAAACTAAACAAATTTTTTCATTTGAAAAATTTTTTTTTTTTTAAATATTGAATTTTGTAGTAGATAAAAGTTTTTTTTCCTAACGTTTCAAACGAAATAACGAACGTTCAAATGAAGGACGATTTTTTTTTATTTCAGTAAACATTGAATTTTGTTGGAAAAATATTTTAATTTTAGAAAATTAATTCCTTTTTATAAAAATGGAATTTATATTTTTAATTTTATTCTAGTAAATTTTCTTTTAAATTTAGTGTTGACACAAACATTTTATTTTTTATTTCCTTCACTTTCACTAATTTCTAAATTCAATTATTCAAAACTTGAATAAATTTGTTAAATAAATATTTAAATAGGTACTTTTTATCTGTTTTTTCACGGGAAGAACAATTTTTTAAACTACGACTTAGAAACTTCTGAAATTTAATAATTTCTAAAAATTCAATTATTTCTACAATTTTCCAACTAAATTTCATCTCTAAAAATCATTATTTTTTTAAAGTTCTTCGAGAATTCAATTATTTAAATACAAAAAAATTCAATTTTTTATAATAATAATTGTAACTGTCTGCATTTTTTAAGTTATTAAGATATTTTTTCAAAATATTATAATAAAAAAATTCTTAAAATTAATTTTTTAAAAATATTTTCAAATAATTTTTGAAAGAGTATAATTTTTTAATTACTTTTAAAAAATTGAAAAATTTCCAAATAATTGAAAGTTGGTAAAATCTTTTAAAAGAAATCGATTTCTTGAAAAATATAAAAAAAATAATCAAATTTTTGAAGAATTTTAATTATAAATATGAACATGACTTCTCCGAAATTTTAACAAGTCTAAAAAAATAATTTTAAAAAATTTTAATTTACTTTTTTCGAAGATAGTGGAATCTTTAATATTTATGATAAAACAATTCTAAGAATTAGTTTTTTAAAAATATTGTATGTCATATTAATTAAAAATTTTGAACACAATAGTTTTTTTTAAAATGGTAATAATAATAATTCTAAAAAATGTTAGTGTTATTATTTTTTGTATGTATTTAAATTTTCGGAAATATGTAATTGAAAATATTGAAAGTAATTGAATTTTAAAAATTAAAATAAAAAAATTCGAAGAATTAATTTTTTTAAAAATATTTTCATATAATTTTTAGAAGCTGATTTACATTAACTTTCATTTTTAAATTTAAACTTGTAGATTTTTCATTAAAATTTTTGAGAATTCAATTATTTCCAAAATTTGCAATTAAAGTTCTTGAAAAGTTGATTTCAATTACATTTTACAAAGTTTCAATTATTCCAAATCTTTTTAATGGTGTATTTCGAAAATTTAATTAGACAAAATTATTTTCGAAAATAATTTTTGAAAAATTTGTTTATAGCTATTTTTCACACTATAAAAATCGAAATAATTTGCATTTTTTTACTACAGATTTGGTATTTTGTTGCCATGTTTGGAAAAAAGTAAAAAAAAGTCTTAATTTTTGAAAATAAGTGAAAAAAAGACATATTTTTTAAAAATAGTCGAAGAAAGTCGAGAAGTAAACATCTGTGGATTAATCAATGAAAACGTAAAAATGAAACGTTTCTCTGATTATAAATGAAAATGGAAATTATTAATAAATTTCAATAACTGAGAGCCACTGTGTTAAGTCTTTGTTGAAAGACAACATTAAATATACTTAAATAAGATTAACTGGAATTGGATAAGAGTATGCATGATTACAAAATGAAACTGAAGCCTGACATCAAACGACCAATGATAAGTATATAGCTATTACATTTTTCGAATAATTTGCATTCGTTACACAATCAACAAGTCAAATCCACTTTCTTACCTGTGGTTATGAAAAAAAATATCATTACTTTCTAAAATGCGTTTCTTCTTTCAATAATTATTTTTTCAAAATAAATTGACAAAAAAAACAAATGCGAAATTACCTAAAAGCAAAATAAACGTGACTCATAAAACTGATATCTTTTGAACTTTGATTACTATTGTCGATTGCTCTTTTAATCGAATATTATCACTGCAATTTATAATCAAGGGTGAAATGACAATTAACAAGAAATTAAAAATACAATTTTTTTCCAAATTCCAGTTTTTCAGAGTTGTCGATTTTAATTAACCTTCTTTCTGTCACATAACCTTTAAATTTAAAGAATAGAAAGAATTGAGAAAAATTTTATAGAGAAAAAATACTAGAAGTAAAAATAATATTTGAATTTCCTGTGATTTTAACGCAATGTAACCGTGACGGAAGAACGCATAGCACGTGACAAGATTAGATTAGACAAAATAAAGTATCTCTGGTCGTTTGCACCAGTTAAATGTTTGCAGCTAGAGAGAGAGTATTGTAGACAAAAATAGACCGAACATTTATAAGTGCTCGCACTTTCCACACCACTGCCTAAATTGTACATTTAAAACTATAACAAAATAATAAGAAAAATAATTCATAAATAATAAAATTCATATTAAAATACAAATTAGTTTTTAGCGAAAAAAAAAAATTAAATCCGAAATTAAATAACCAAATTGAACAGATGTTTCATTAAATTCATTAAAATGCAATATTACCTATTAATTAGCAATTTAAATTATTTTACCACCAAAGATTATAATTATAACGCCACAAACAAGAAATCAATCGAAAAAAGTGAGGTTAGATTAGCTTGCAAATTAAAAATCGTCCAAATCGTTTCATATACATTTAGGAAAAAATTCAAAAACTTGTCACTTAGAATTTTAAAGTAAAAAATCAATATACGCATGAGAAAAATACACACCATGAGATTAAATGACGAAATAACCTATACCAATTTAGACACATTTTTTATTATACTTAATTTAGAGTATTTAGATCATTTAGATTTTCGAAAACTTATCAAAATGACGTAAAAATGGAAAATTTTTCAACCCAATTATTGCAAACTATATTAAAAAGATAAAAAAAAGAAGGGAAGTTTCACATATTTCTCCGCATGGAGAAATAAATGCTGAAATCGTGAACACGTTCCTGACCAAAATGGCTGTTTTGCTAAAATTGGCTGACCACGTTCTCAAAACTCTCGATTAAATATCAAATACGATAATATAGTGAATATTTTCATATTTACCTTGTCGTCGAGGAAAAGTCATATAAAATGGTATCGCCCTGCTGGACGGTCGCCTTCTAGCGCAAAAAATACAACTCAAGCCGATGAAATAATTAAGACAGATGGATCGCCCAAAGCTCAGACTTCCTGCGTTTTGTCGTCACCTAAAAATAAAGAAAAAAAAAGACCACATTTAACACAATCAATTTACACATGAAATTAATATTTAACTTACTCTCTGGACAATAGAAGACTAAACGATAATATTTAATCACCAACAATTCGCTAATTGCTTTCGTTTATTAGTTATTTTTTAATGAGGATTGCAATGGAAAACGTTCCGGCTTCTTCAACAACTGCGTGAATTATAAAGAAGAAAATTTCATTTCCGCTGTCAACTTCACACTGATGAAAGGCCAATCGATAAAATATCGAAATTTTAAAACAGAAACATATTGCAACAATTTATTTAAAAATAAAACTTTAATTATTAACTAATTATAAAACAATAATGAATGTTGAAATTTGAACATACAATAAGATGTAGTAATTTTCTTCCACTTAATAATGTGACCTAGTCCTAATTAAGGTGATAATTTTCCCGCGCCTTTTGACTGTATTTTTCCACAAAAGTGTACAAAGTTTTAAACAGTTTAAACTAATGGAACTATTTAAAAATTATATTATTTATATCGTTAAATTAATATTCGATATTACTTCCATGTATATAGAGTGAAATTATTTACTTACAAGAAGTAAATTTACAAATTATACAATAGTGTTTACAAGTGGTTTACAAGAATGACAAGAATTACAAGAAAGTTAATCGGGTTGCCTATCTCACAGGGGCCAATGTTGTCATTACCAAAATTGGAAACATGTCAACGATTGTAAGTTTCTATCGTTTCTATCTTTGTTACAAAATATATAGATAAGCAGATAGTTACAATTGGCATGACGAGCATTATTTTCAGTTTTTAGAATAATCTCATTTTAGAAAAACGCTATAAAAGTATGTATAAAACAATTATAGAAACGTGGCAAGAGAAAAACAACATAACCTCTAAGATATTGTTATTATTTCAGTTATTTCATAATAAAAATATTTTCTAATTTATTTGTACTCTAAACATATTGTATTATATTTTTCATCTTATTTTATTCTCTTTTTTTTAGAAAATGAAGGCAGTCAAGTGTCCCACAGAGGATTTAAGCTACACTAACTGTGCTATTATCAATGTTAATGATTTTCCAGATGATGTTAAGTAAGTAATTTACAGATTTATTTATGTTTTAAACATTTTAGTTTTGTACTTTCAATTGAATGAAATTTACTTTATTTTTTCTTTAAATTCAAATTTTATTACAATATTGCTTAACTTTATTGTCTAATGTATTGAAAAAAAAATCTAAATGTTTAATTCATATTTTTGCTTTTTTACACTTAGTAATTATTGTTGAAAATATTTCGTTCGTTTGAACATAGATTTCTATATAAATGTAGAATGTAAATAAAATTGTATACATACATTTGAATTCGGAATGTTTTATTTTTGTTTATATAAAATTTTGTGTAATAAATTTTTGAGGATTAACATTAGATTCTAGATTCTATTTTTACTGTTTTTAATTTTCTAGGCATGTCGAAGTGATAACGGGACCAAATCAACATTTTGTGTTCTCTGTGAGAAATCATTATGAAATATCACGAGGCACTGTTGGATTTAGTCTTCCTCAACGTAAATGGGCGACACTTTCTCTCAATCAGGAAATAGAAGTTCGACCATTTACTGATTTCTCAAAAAGTGCCTCATGCGTCTGCAACATGGTCCTAGAAGTTGATTTCCTAATGAAAAAAACGTAAAATTATTCAGTAAAATTTTTAAATGTTTAATAATTTTATTAATCTATATTAACAATTGTTATTATTCTGGTAATCTATTCAAAGTTTAAAGTTAGTTATTTGCTTTTTGGTTTCCTAAGTTTTTTAATAATTTATCTTTTAAAGTAATTTGAATTTAAGAATTTATATATTAAAAATCATTGAATTCTTGCGTAGAATTAAACAAAATTTTTAATAATTGGATTTTTCCAAAGAATTTTATTATTCATGAAGATAATTGAACTCTGGAGAAAAATTTTATTTCATTGTTTGAAAATAATTTAAATTTTGCAAAGAATACTATTATTTCTGAAAATAATTGAATTATTTTGAAGAATTTTATTTTTTAAGAAGATCATTGAATTTTGGAGAAAAATTTTTTAAAAAAATTTCAAAACAATTGAAATTTGGTGAAGATTATTATAATTTCTGTAAATAATTGAATTTTTGGGAAGAATTTTATTACAATTTTTGAAAATAATTGAATTTTCGCGAAGAATTTTCTTTTTTCTGAAAATCATTGAATTTCGGAGAAAAATTTTATTACAATTTTTAAAAATAATTGAAATTTTGCAAAGAATATTATTATTTTTATAATAATACCTAATAATTTTATTTTTTCTGAAAATCATTGAATTTTGGAGAAAAATTTTATTACAATTTTATGAAGAATTTCTGACAAGTTTTTTAAATTATCGTGTTTATTAATAATTGTAATTAAACATTATTTTGGTTATTGAATTTTGTTAAAATTATTAGGGAATAATTAAATATCTCACAGAATTTTCTGCAATTTTTTATTTTATTTTATTAATTATAAGTGAATTAAAATTTAAAATAATTGAATTCATCGAAAAAATTTGATTTAAATATAAAAAGTAATTAAATTCTTTTAAATTATAACTTTAATTTTTTTTAAATATAATTGATTTTATTAATAATTAGGATAATTAATAATTTTATTGTAATTAGTGAAAAAATTTAATTTTTCAGAACAAATTTATTAGTTTTCGTAAATAATTGAATTCTTTTGAAGAAAGTCTTTAAATTTTTTTGACAATATAATGTAGTTTTTTTTAATAATTCTAATTGAAAATTCTGAAAGAAATTGAATATTAGGAAAAATTTCTTTCAAGTATTTAAAATAATCTACAATTATTATTGTAATTAAAAATTTAATTATTCAATTTTATTAAAATTTTTTGGAAATAATTGAAGTCTTCCCTGAATATTCATATAATTTTTGAAAATGATTGAATTTTTCGAGAAATTTTATAAAAATATGCTAAAAAATAATCTAATTCCTATAAAATATTTTACCAAAACTTTTGAGAATAATAGAATTCTTTTAAAGAATATTATTAAAATTTTTTAAAATAATTTAGTCTTTTCGAGAAATGTATTAAAATTGAATTGAAAATTATTGAATACCTGCTAAGAATTTTAAGAAATTTTTTGAAAGTAATTGAATTTTTTCAATGAATTTTAGTAAATTTTTGAAAATAATTTAATTTTGTACATGAAAATAATTAAATTAATTAATTATTGAAAATAATTGAATTTTTAAAAATAAATCTCTAAAAGTTCTTAAGAATAATTGAATTCTTACTAGAAATTAAAAAAAATTATACTGGAAATAATTGAATTCATGTAAAGGAAATTACTATTCATGCAAATAATTGAATTATAAAATATTTTATCAAAACTTTAGAGAATAATTGAATTCTTCTGAAAAATTTTACTAGTATTTTTAAAAAAAAATTGTATCTTTTCGATAAATGTTATTAAAATTACAGTAAATATAATTGAATTCCAGCGAGGAATTTTATATTTAAAAAAATAATTGAATTCTTTACAAAAATGTTATTAAAATATTTGAAATTGATGAAATTCTTTTGCGAAATTCAATTAAAATTGCATTGAAATTGAATTTCTTCGAAGATTTTAATGAAAATTATATAAAAAAAATAATTGATACTTAATAAGTGAATTTTTTAAATTTTGAATCTGAAATTATTCAAAAATCTAAATTGTCATTTTTATTTTCAGGGCTTCGCTAGAACCGTTCGATACCGATCTAATGGCGAAGGATTTTTTACTACAATTCTCTGGCTGTGCATTCACTGTTGGACAATTATTACCATTTAAATTTCTCGATAAAAAAGTCCTCTCAGTTGTTGTAAAATCTATAGAAGCTGTTGATCTATTGACAGTTGGTGCAGGACATAATGCAAAACCAATAAAAATTAAACTCGGTCGTTGTTTGGGCGATACGGTGATTCAATTTGAAAAGGCCATGAATTCAACGTTAAATCTTGTGGGCAAATCAGTGGGAAAAATGGCACGACAATCGGTAATTAATCCCGATTGGAATTTCGAGGATATGGGTATCGGTGGATTGGATAAGGAATTCACAGATATTTTTAGGAGAGCTTTTGCCTCCCGCCTTTTATCAGTGGACGTTGTGTCGAAATTAAATTTTAAACACGTAAAAGGAATTTTACTGTACGGACCTCCAGGTACCGGTAAGACCTTAATGGCTCGGCAAATTGGAAAAATGCTCAATGCCAAGGAACCGAAAATTGTCAATGGACCACAGATTCTTGATAAATACGTCGGGGAAAGTGAAGCTAATATTAGAAGATTATTCGCTGATGCCGAGGAAGAAGAGAGAAAAGTACAATTGAGATATTTTCTTTATTTTTCAAATTTTTGCTTTTTTTTATTTAACATTTTAATTTCATTAAACATTTTAATTTTATCTCCTTATTTCAATTTTAATTTAATGATTTATAATTTTCTGTGTTACTTTACGTTCTCGTTAGTTGGGACCAAATAGTGGTTTACATATTATAATTTTCGATGAAATAGACGCAATTTGTAAATCAAGAGGCAGCGTCAGTGGGAATACGGGAGTTCACGACACAGTTGTAAATCAATTGCTCTCAAAAATTGACGGCGTCGAGCAATTAAATAATATACTCGTAATTGGAATGACCAACAGACGTGATATGATTGATGAGGCTTTACTCAGACCGGGAAGATTGGAAGTAAGTTATTTTTTCGCAAAATAAATTTTCCGAATTTAATATAAATTTTTCGAATTTAATATAAATTTTTCTTGCAGATACAATTGGAAATTAATTTACCCGATGAAAGTGGAAGACTTCAAATTTTGAGTATACATACGGCAAAAATGAGGGATCATAATAAATTAGCGAGTGACGTTGATTTAAAAGAATTGGCGGCTTTAACGAAAAATTTCAGTGGCGCTGAAATTGAAGGTTTAGTGAGAGCAGCGCAAAGTACGGCTATGAATAAATTAGTTAAGGTGACAAATAAAGTTGAAGTAGATCCAGAAGCCATGGAGAATTTCAATGTCAATAGGGGAGATTTCATCTATTCTCTCGAGAACGATATTAAGCCGGTGAAAAAAGACGTTTTTACAAATTTTGAATTTTTTTTTATAATTTTAACTAAATATTTTCGAAAATACGATTTAAACGATTTTTCTTTTTGGAAAAATTAGGCTTTTGGAACAAACGACGACGATTTGGGACGATTAATGTTAAAAGGTATCATCACCTGGGGAAAACCGATTGCGGATATTCTCAGTGAGGCACTTTTCTGCAAGGAACAATTAATTGCCACTGAAGGACCGGCCCTTGTTTCAATTCTTCTCGAAGGTCCGAGGAAAAGTGGAAAAACTGCATTGGCAGCACAAATCGCAAAGAATACGAATTTTCCATTTATTAAAATTTGCACTTCCGAGGATATGATCGGATTTACTGAACCGGCAAAATGTTCAGCGGTGGAGAAGGTATTTTTCTTTTTTCCTTACAAAAACTTTCGTTATTACAAAATTTTCAATTGTTTCAATTTTTTTAAATTATTTTCGGAAATACAACTATTTTTAAAAAAATTTTAATTACATTTTTTCAAGAAAAATTTTTTTTCGGAATTTCTGAATTAAATTAAATTATTCAAAACTTCAACACTTTTTGTTAAATAAAAAAATCATTTTTGTAAAATTATAAAATAATGTATTTTCAAAAATACAATTATATTTATAGATAATTTTTAAAGATGAAAAAAAAATTCTTAAAAATACAAAATTTATTATAAAAATTTGAACTGCAAGTCTTCCAAAATTCAATTATTTTTTTTAGAAACTTTGAATAATATTATTCAAGACTTTAAATTTTTAAGGAAGCTAACAAATTAATAATTTTTTATATTTAAATATTATGATACTTTTACAGTAATTAGAATTTCAAAGATTGAAATTTAATTATTTTTAAAGAATCCTACTTTAACACTTCTAATTATTTTCTAAAGTTTTAACTAAAATTTTTTTTTAAATCAATTCTTATCAGAATTCAATTATTTATTATAATATTATAATAATATTTAAAAAAACAATTTTTAATGAATAATATTTTTTTAGATATTTACTGCAGCCTATCGCTCTCAACTCAGTTGTGTTTTGGTTGACAATATCGAACGTTTTCTCGATTACGGACCAATTGGTCCCAAATATTCTAATTTGATGCTCCAAACTTTATCGCTATTGTTAAACAAAAAACCACCACGTGATCGAAAGTTATTAATTATTGGCACTACTAGTCGCAAGTAAATTCAATTATTATTTTCAAATAAATTTTTTTATATTTAAGTAAATTAATTAATAAGTAATAATTAAATTTCTGTAATTATAATAACAGAATTATTATTATTTATTATAAAAAACATTATGACAGAAATATTCAATGACAGAACTTCTTTAATATTTAATCTTTGAAATATTAAATAACTAAAAATTAATTTTCTCCTTTTAACAGACAAATCTTACAAGATCTAGAAATTCTCTCCGATTTCAAGACAATTCTTCATGTGCCCAATTTACTTACACCAAATGATCTTCTCTCAGTGCTTGAGGAGGTGGATTTATTCTCAAAAGACGAACTCGTTAATCTTCATGGAAAATTACTAGGCAGAAGGTATATTTCTCTTTTAATTTAATTTTGTAAATTAATTCTCTCAATTTTCTAATAATTTATTATAAATTATTTCAGTATTTACATTGGAATTGAAACATTATTAGATTTAATAGACAGAGCCAGACCAGTAGAGGCGAATTATCGACTGTCAAATTTTATTTCAAAATTAGAGCAAGAAGGTTATCTAGAATAAAGAAAAGGATAAAAATCAAATTATTTTATTTATATGGAAATTTTACATTAAATGTGCAATTATTGTGTAAATAGTGTGTAACTGTGAATCGAGGGTTAAATTGAAATTTTGTACGTTGCATATGGATGAGAAAAATTGATTGTAACAGAGGATTCAATTCCATGTGATTGACTAACTAATAACCTACCTCTAAAAAATCGAAACAAATTTTATAACAAATTTTATTAATATATATTTTAAAATTTATTCAACACGTGAATTTATTTAATTAATTAATTTTTATTTTTATTTATTCAACTTTTTCTATTTACAATTTTTTCTTCTATTTACATCTGTAAATATTGTTTACTTTCATAGTTTCAGATTTTTTATTATTAATAAATTATATAGTTATATAGTTTATTTATTTTAAAAAATTAATAATTTAATTAATTTTATTTATTCAAATTATTTTAAATAAATAATTATAACTATTTAATAGTTCAATTTTTTTTAGTTATTTCAAAATACAATCTTACTTATATTATATATTATATACATATAATAATAATAATAATAATAATAATAATAATAATAATAATAATAATAATAATTATAATCGCATATAAATAGTAGATTATTTAAATAATAGCGCTAAAATTTTCGATTTTCCGTAGAATCGATTTTTGTGGCCAACTTCACAACACTCGACAGTTTGACGTTAATCATAACATTGGCGGGAGATGGACTTTATTTTTATTATTTAATCTTTTTCCAATCCAATAAATAAAGATATAAAATATTGTGAGTGGATTTTGGAATTACATTCGACAAGATGTGGTTTTTGAAAGGACCGAAAGGTAATTAAATACATAGCATAACTAACTTTAAATCTTACCATTGTTTTTGACACGTTCCGGTTGACATGTGAAATGTATTAATTAATTTAGTTACTTGCATTCTAAATACAAAGGAATATTTCTTATTAATTAAAAGCCTCTTCAGAAAAACACATAAACAAATGGCTAATATTTTTGTTAAATTTACATAGAGACGTTTTTAATCATTTCAAAATCCTAACCTAGAAATTCATTACTGAAACGGATCTTTTTACAAATATTTCAACTAATATATATATTTTTTGCATATTTTTAAAATATAAATTAATCCAATATAATATGAATACTGTATTTTATTTATATTTTCTTCATTGTTTACTTTTTTAAACTTTTTTAATTTAGTTTTTAGTACTTTAGGGACTTTAGGTAACGAATAATGTTTTATTCATACAAAAACATATCCATTAAACTTTTATTAAAAATATTACAGGTGAATTAATTTATCTGAAACGAGATTCTCCAATAAATGTGGGAAGAATTCAAGGCGATATTGTTTTGAGAGATGATAAATCTATAAGTAGAAATCATGCCTCAGTTTATGTCGAGCCAAAGGTAAATGTTAAAAACTTTTTTCTCTTTTTAATTTTTTTTTTTTTTGTTTTTGAACAAGAATTTACATGTAAATTTTCAACTTTTTCAGAAGAACAAAAACAAATCGTTGTGTTTTGTTAAAGACATGGGCTCAAAATATGGTAGTACCGTTAACAGAGGAAATGAAACAATAAAAATAACAAAGGAAGGAATAGAAGTGCATCATAACGATATAATCAAATTTGGACTTCAAAACAATGATTACACGTGAGTTTTTACAATAAATCAATACAAATTAAAAAAGTATTAAAATTACAAATCAGATAAAAAATTTGTTGACAATTATTGATATAACTAGCAAATGATACATCAATTTTTGAATGATTAGAGATTCAAAATTTAAAGAATTCACTTATTAAGTATATAATTAAATATTAGTGTTTATTATTTTTCAAAAATTTTAATAAAAATTTTATCAAGAATTTCATTATTTTCATAAAGAATTCTTTAGAGCAATTCAATTATTTTCAATACAATTTTAAAAAAATTTCTCGAAACAATACAATTATTTTTAAAAATATTAATTAAATTCCACTACTTTCAAGAATTTTAATATAAAATTATAAATTCAATTATTTTCAACAATTTTGATGAAATTTTTTTTTTAAAATCATTTTCAACATATTTAACAAAATTCGTTCAAAAACTTCAATTATTTTCAAAAATTTAAATAAAATTCTTCAAAACAATTCATTTGTTTTTATGAATTGTGAAATTCTCCGCAAGAATTTAATTATTTTCATAAATAAGAAAATTCTTCGCAAGAATTAAAATATTTTCATAAATAAGAAAATTCTTCAAAGGAATTCAATTATTTTCAATACAATTTTAATAAAATTTCTCGAAAGAATACAATTATTTTTAAAAATATTATTTAAATTTAATTATTTTCAAGAATTTTTCGAAACAATTCAATTATTTTTGTGAATAATAAAATTCTGCTGAGAAATTCAATTATTTTCAATCACAATTTTAATTAAATTTCTAGGAAAGATTCAATTATATTCAAGATAATTTTAATAAAATTTCTCTAATAAGTTCAATTATTTTTAAAAATTGTAATAAAATTTTTCTAAACAATTCAATTGTTCTCAAAAGTTTTTAATCAAAATTCTTTGTAAATTTCAATTATTTTCAAAATTTTCAACTAAAATTGCATTATTTTTGCGAAATTAAATGAAATTCTTAAAAAGAGAATGTAATTATTTACAAAAACTCTAATAAAATTGTTTAAAAGAATTAAATTTTCTATGAATAATTTTAATATAATTTAACAAGAAAATCGTTAATTACTTAAATTAATAATAAACACGATTATTTTAAAAACTTAAAAGAAATTCTTCTTAAAATTCAATTATTTTCAAAATTTTCAGTAAAAATTACTAAAAAAAACTTCACTATTTTCAAGAATATTGAAATAAATTCGTCAAAACAATTCAATTATTTGAAAGAATTTTAATAAAAATCTTTCCAAGAATTAAATTATTTTCAATACAATTTTAATTACATTTTCTCGAAAGAATTCAATTATTGAAAAAAATGTTAATAAAATTCTTGAAATGAATTCAATTATTTTCAATTTTTTTTATAAATACTTTGCAAGAATTCAATGACTTTCAATATATTAATTTTAAAATTAAAAATATGTAAAGAGAAAAATTATTAAAAAAGTTAGGAAATAAAAAAGCAAACAACAACTAAATTTAAACTGGGAACAAATTACCGGAATACAACAATTATTAATATAGAAGAAGATATTTCAAGTTTTATTTCATTAGTAATTCAATATTAAATTTGTAAACTATAATTGTATCAAATTTGTTAAATTAGTAAAATTTTTAAAACAAATTTGAATTCTATTATAATAATAATAATTTTTTGAAAACTTTTTCAGAGCTTCCTATATTCCTATGGTTGTTTTGGTTTCTTCAATGACTGACATTAAACACTTGCAATCAATAATAAACGATCTCGATGGATACATCGTTCTGGAGTGGTCAAAGGATGTCACTCATCTCACAACCGTAAAGGCAAAATTGAGAGAAAAGGTAAAAATTATTAATGATTGCAAAAAAAAGATATAATATAAATAAATATTAATCAAGTAATTATAATTTACTATTCTCTAGACATTTTATTTTTTAATTTTCAGATAGCAATTGCTCTTGTAAATTGTGTTCCAATCGTTGGAATTGAATATTGGGAAGCTGTTAAAATTGCAGTAAAGGAAAATAAAGATTTACCCAAATTTTCCGATTATATTCTTCCAATTTCAGAAGATATAATAGACAATACAAAAGTGTCTCTAGCACCGAATAAAATTCGAAGATCTTTATTTAAGGACTTGACTTTTTTGTTCTTCAGTTATTCTCAACTTAATATTTACAAGAAAATCGTTAATGATGCAGGTAATTAAAATTTTTAGAAAAAGAATTTTTCCTTAAATAAATATTTATAAATTATTATAAATAATTAATTTTATTTTTTTTATTTTTATTTATTTTTTTTTTTATTTATTTTTTTTTTTTTTTTATTAATTTATTTATTTATTCGTATTCGTATTTTAATTGTTAAATTTCATTAATCAAATGATCTTTTAGGTGGAGAAAGTTTAATGTTCAACAAATCAGTCCACACTGACTTAAACAAATTTTGCACTGATAATTTCGCTGTCGTCTATTATATGATTGGATCAAATCAAACTGAAGAGAGTATTCTCGAAACGCAGAAGACAAAAACAGCATATGAAGAAATTGGTATTTTAATTTATAAATTTAAAATTTCTTTTTGGTCCTTTTTTTAGTATTGAATAAAAATAGAAGTTTATGACCATCTTTTTTCTTACAGAGGAGCTTTTACGAAAATCAAAACGTCGAATGATTTCCGATTCGGAAATAATGTTGGCCATTCTTCACTGTTCTTTGGAAAAAAATTGCAACTCCAAACACAAATATAAAGAGTGGCTACTGGAAAAGAAGAGTAACGCTTCAAAAGATGATAGAAAAACTATTTTCGCCGTTGATACTGACGATTTACATTCAAAATCATTGATTGCGCAAAATAATGATAATATTGTACCAGAGTCAGTCGAAATGACAAGCCAGGATTTAGTCGATACACAATGGAGTGGTATGGGTGATAACAATAAAGCACCTCCTGCTTCATTGGGAATTTCGGACATCAGTTCAATTAAAAGTGAAACTCAATTATCCACTGAGGATATTGACAGTCAATTGGCTAAATTAAATGTCGATAAAACAACTGAAAAAAGAACCGAAAAAAGAAGTTCCGAACTTGTGTGTTCAACACCAGCGAAAAGGGCAAAAATTAGCGGTGGCAGTTCCCTATTTCCAGTCGTTTCCAAAAAAAGTTCACAAAGTCTACTCAATTCACAAGAACATCTTGTTTCCCAAATTCCTAAATTATCACAGTTATCCAACAGAAATAACGATTCTATAATTATTGATTACGATAAAAAATCGTCTTCCCAATCACAAAACAAATTCACCCTACCGTCAACTTTGAATGACAGTGGAAAACAAAAAGCTAAAGCAAATATTTTTGGCAATTGGATGGAAGCGCCGAAGGCAAGTAAAATAGAAATAATTGAAGAAACAGATACGCCAAAGAGAAAAACACAAATTGATAAAAATGATAGTACATCGATGGAAAATAAAGCACCGAAAAGAGAGATAACTCGTTCTAATGATTCTTCATCGAATGCTCTTTCATTTGGAAGTAAAAATAAGCGAAGGGAATCAAATTCGAGTGATACGATCAATGATTCAGTGAAGGACAAATTGATTGATGAGGAAGAACCGCAGACGAAAAAGAGAAAAATAAATGTTAGTAATGATAGTTCATTGGAATCTAATGGGAGGAGTGAGAAAAGAAAGCGGGACACTAGAAGTGATTCAGACAGCAATCAGTTTGTAATGCAAAAGAAACGAAATCAAGATGATAATGAGAAAGTATTCCGAATAGAAGCGGTGGATAATCTCAACAGTAATGATGTAAGTCAAGTTTTTGCTATTTTATTCAATAGGAAATAATTTTATAATTTATACAACATAACATTTCTGGTTTTTTATGAGTTCAAAAATATTTTTCACAAACTTATAAACCGGAAATTTTTCTTGAATTTTTTTTCATCTTAAAACTGAAATCATAATCAGGGCTCGAACTAAATTCGTAAATTTGCTTGAAGTCCGTAAAAGTCAGTTTTTTTGAAAAAAGGTCCGTAAATTCCGTAATTTGATTGAAAAAGGACATAAATTGTACGATATAATTTAGAGAATTTTGGAGAAGTTACAAATGATTACAGAAATTAAAAAAGAGATTATTTATTTATTTAAAAGTATTATTATTATTAAAAGTAATAAAATTCTTCGTAGAAATTCAATTATGTTAAAAAATTTGTTTAAATTCTCGTCAAAAAAGGAATTGATAATAATTAAATAATTAAATAATTATTCAATTTTTAAGTAATTTGTTTTTAAATTCTGAAATTAATTGAAATTTTTGTGAAATTGAATTAAAAATATTTAAATCTGTTGAAGGATTTCATGAGAGATTTAAAGAAATTGAATTTGCAAAGAATTTTATTTAAATAATTGCGGTAAACAATTGAATTTTACAAAGAGTCACCATTGAATGTATATATTAAAATGTCTTTTAGTGTGAAAATCAGTATTAATGAATCCAAATTGCATCGAAATAATTTTGAAACAATTGCAATTAATTTTTTTCTCTTATTTAATTTCAAAAAGATTTAAATTCCTCATTTTTCTTAAGAATTAAAGTTTCGAAAAATATTTTTTAGTGTTTCAAAAAATTATAGGTTTTGTAAAATATTTCAATTCTATTTTTCAAAGATTATTAAAATTTTTATAAACAAAGCATTGAAAAGTTTCAAAATCATTGAAATTGTCTTTTTTAATTTCGAATTTATTATTTTACAGGATGATTGTCTTATAGTTACGGGTTTAATTCGCGATGGAATGAATGATCCTTCTATAAACGACACTATAGGTTACAAAACATATAAAAGGGTAATTTATTAATTAATCATGAATAATTACTAATAATTAATTAAATATATTATATAATTTCGAATTCAATTATTAATTTTTTCACTTTTCTAACAGGCTAACTATACGATTCCCAGAATGAGAATATCACTTGATGGTATGGTTGCTTGGTCAATGGAGGAGGAATAGCAGAGAGTTTTTATAAATATAAAAAAATTACTTTCACATTTGTTATTAATTCATATTAATTATATTTTTTTCAGCAGTGTTTAGTTATTTAATGTTCGTCTAATTTTTTTTTGGCAAATTTTCTTTATTACATAATATTTGTTAAATAAGTCAGAAGTTAAATTGTATTCGTGAAGACTGTCGTAAAACGTGAAATTGAATATTATTTTTATATACATCAACAAGTTCGTCTTTTAAAATTAATTAAATATTTTAATTGCAAATATTGATTAGGTATTAATTTTCCAAACTTTGTTAATAATCTTACATTTTTTTAAATACTAATTACAAGTTCAAAATTAATTATTATTATTTTTTTATTTAAAAATTTTTTATTTTCAGTCTCGAAATTATCGAATAAATCGATCGCCCTTAATTCGATAATTATTTGAATTTTTAGAACTGTTTTTTACCAGTTTTTACCAAAATACTACCAAAAACTATTAATTATATAATTATATAATTTTAATAATTAATCTTTTTAGTATATATTTGAAAATATTAAATTAATTATTTTTTAATAAAATATTTTAATTTGTTTATCGCTTGTTGTTTCGATTGTTTCGATAATCGATTTTTGTTTAAATAATAAAACCGCGCTAAATAAGTGCGCGCGCATTCTCATGTTGTCAAGTGAGAAAAGAGGTTAGGAATCATTGTAGTCACATGGGTCGCGCGGATACTCGGATGTATTTTTATTTTTTGTTATTATTTCTAAATGAATAAGTGATCAGTTATGTTTAATTCAATAAAGAATTGTGCTAAATTCGTTATTCAAAGAAATAGTAAGAGATTTGGTAACAAAAAATCAAAACCTTCGAAAAAGAAACTTAAAACCCTACCCGGTAAGTTCGTTATACTTTTTCAATACTGTTTGTGTTTATTTTTACTACACGTTTTTTTGTTATTTACCAAGAAATAAATTGGCAAAAATTAAAAAAATGTTTAAAGAAAAGTGTGAAATAAACAGCGAAATTAAGTTTTCAAGCTTCAAGACTATGGCAACTAATTAATACGAAAATATTTGGGAAAATTGTAGTCGCATTTAATGAATAACATTTACGAAAGAAAGACGATCTTTTTTCTTTCTTTCGTGAATGTTATTTTCTTTTTTCTCTCGACACGCAATAAATTGATGAATAGTATTAATTTTTTGTCTATAATTAATTTTCTCTAGTCTTTCAGTATCCCGTGAGTGAAGAAAGTGATCGTCGAGTTTATGTTTGGGGTCTAGCGGAACATGGAGCATTGGGGACAATTGATAGGGTTCAAACAGTTGATCACGTTGCCTATATTGCAAAACCAAGTCGTTTAACATTTGGAGAAACTTATAAAGTAGTTGACATAGCGTGTGGTTATGGTTTCACTTCGTTTGCTGTACGTTCCAATGACAATAACATTGTTTATGGCAGTGGTATCAACACAGATTCGCAAATCGGTAAGTTTTACATTAATAATTATACCTTATATGAAAAAGAAAATTCACCTTATTTATTACTTGACAAAAGGACTAAAATTAAAATTCTAATATTTAATTTACAGGAAAATGATTTCGACCGTAGAAAAATTATAAAAGATTTTTTAATCGGGACCTTCTTTTGTTCACTTTGTCTATATATTTGTTTCTTATTTATACATTCTAATTCCCGTAGGTTATCATTCTTCTGATAAGCGGTACAAGGGTGATATTATAACAGCACCGAGACCAGTGGAATTACCATTGAAAGAATCAACATCTCAGGTCGTTGCTTTGGCTGCTGGCAGAGCTCATTTATTGGTATTGACTACCGAGGGACTTTTTACATTAGGAAACAATGGATATGGACAATGTGGAAGGCCAATTATTGATAATGAGGATTATAAGAAGAATACGATTGTACATCATATACCGGATGCGAAAGGAAATCAAATAGCAAATGTATTTGCAGGACAGGATCATAGGTTAGTGGAAAAGTAATCCAAGTAACAAAATTTCAGTGGTTAAACAAATTTTTTCTTTAACAAATAACTTGCTGAAATAAATTTTCATTAATCACAGTGAGTCCCTTTTTTATAATATCCCTATTTTTCTCTTTTTTGAACCCATTAAAATAATAAAATCCGAGAAGTTTGGATAATCTGTCAACTTGCACTATTTAATAAGTCCCTTTGATTGTCTGATAGCGTACGGGTAAACCTGCTACTACTTAAAAGTTTCCATAAAATTTTTTATCAAGTTGTATAATTATTATACAATATTGTTTAGTTAATTTGAAAATTTCTCTTTTTTAAACTGAGTATCCTTTTGAATTAAAAAAATTCTGTAATTGAAATTCCCTTTTTTACCTAATATGTCATGATAAAAATAACTGTGATCCCGGATTTTTTAATCAAAATATCTAAAGTTCCTTGAGATCAGAAAATTATTTTTCAAAGATTAAACTAATTTCAGTATACTTTTAACTGAAAATGGCGAAGTTTATACATTTGGATGGGGGGCTGATGGACAAACTGGTCTTGCTCATTATCAAAATGAATATAGGCCAAGTTTGGTTAAAGGTGATTTAGCTGGTCAGCGTATTGTTAAAGTGGCGTGTATTGCAGACTGTGTCCTGGCACTTAGTGGTATGTTTCCTTATTCTTTTTAGTTCTTTAATTAGACAAATATCAAATTCGAATGGTGGGACGTGTTTACCAAAAAAATAGAAAACATTTTTGTATTTTTTTACTCTATTATGTATTAAAAGTAAAAAATCATAAATTACAATTACGATCGTTACTGAAGGATAATAGTTAAAATTTTAATAATTAAATTAATAATATTATATTATTTTTTTTAATATTAATTATTATAATAATTAAATTAATAATTAAATAAATATTAAAAAAAGAGGATTATCCTTTTTATGGTCAATATAGACAAAGGTAAAGTGTTTGGCTGGGGAAATTCGGAATATGGACAAATACCGGGAATTGGTGACAATCAACAAGTAAATATTGCCACAGAAATAAAGGCATGCAATGATCTTGGAAGAATTACAGACATCGCGTCTGGAGGCAGTTTCTGTATGGTGTTAAATGGTAAATTTTGTTTCTTTATTTATCAATTTATCAAATGAATTAATAAAAATATTTATTGTTTAAAGTATTTATTTATTATTTATTTCTATCAAGATGCTGGAGAAGTATTTGTTTGGGGATATGGAATTCTGGGATTTGGTCCAGAAGTACGAAAGGCAATGAAACCTATGAAAATTCCATCAACACTTTTTGGTGTTAATGAATACGACCCTACTGTTCGGGTAACTATTGATAGTATTTTTAATTTTTTTTTTAAATTCGGCGCGAAGCCTGAGTTTATAAACTAAGAATTTATTTTCATGACATTATTTTGATAGAAAATAGATTTATTTTATAAATAATACAAAAATAAATTTATTCTACACAATTATAATTTATTAACAAATTTATTGTACAGGTTGCAAAAATTTACTGTGGAATAAGTCATCTTGCGATAGTGACAAATAAAGGGGATCTTTACATGTGGGGCAGAAACAAATTCGGTTGCCTTGGATTGGGCCATTATAGAGATCAATTTTTCCCTCTCAAGGTAATTTTATTTGTTGATTTTATTGAAAATAATGAATATTTTTTGCATCCGCTTCTTAGTTATAATTTTTATCTCAAGTTTTTTTGTATTCTGTCCACAAGAGACAAATTAATAATCAATATGACACTATAGTAACAAATACTAACAATATAAAAAAAAAATTCCCAAAAAAATGTAGAATTAACAATTAAATTAAAATTTCGTATTAAATATTTCTTTTCGCATACAATTTATTTATTTTCGTCTATTTTATTCGGTCACAAGTGTAAAAAATCCAAACAATCTGCCATGATTGTCATAAATTATTTCAATATTAATAATATAGATTTTGAAGCTTCGTTTATTGGTTTAACATTCATAGAGAATAAAAAGATTTATAATCAAAATAATATTTGAAATAAAAGAAAAATATTTTTCAGGTTTCGATAGGAGCAGAGGTAAAAAAAGTTTCTTGCGGCGTCGATCATACAGTGACATTGTGTAAACCATTTGTCTAGGAGTATAGAATTTTTCTCTTTTTAATTATTACAAATTTTAATTAAAACTTTTTAACAGATTTTTTTTTTTATTTATTCTAGAAAAATATACAAAAAACCAGCTATTTGTATAAATCTATCAGAGTTATTAATTAAAAATTTATACACTAATACAAATTGACAATATGAAAATTTGTGAACAAAAAAAATTATAATTAAATTTTACGACTTTATCATGAATTTTTCTTTTCATCTTCTTGATTATAAAATTATAAATATAATAATAATTTCGCATTAAATGTAAAATTATTTACGTTACGAAATGAAGATGATCCACCATGTGAGTGGTTATAACATTTTTTTATGCTAATTACCGTTCAGATGAGAAATTAATAAAAATTTTTAATAAAAACTCATTATTCTAAATGTTTACGAAATTGAATAAGGAGACGATTGTGAAAATAATGATGACTGGCAGTGTATTAATGGAAGTTGCTGCACTTTTACAGATTAATCTTTCATAAGATATCTTGTATTTTATTTCGTCTGGAAATCGACAGTTTTCTGCAAATAAAAAAATTGGTTTTATTATAATAGAACTTGTGTGATATTAGTAATAATAATAATATTAATAATAATTTTATGAATATTTTCAGTGATCGAGGGATAAATGAGGAGAATTTTTACCGCATTTGACCGATGTTGATGTTGATGTTGAATTATTCGACTTAACGGAAATATAGTACGGTTGACATTGGTTAATATAATCCGTATCGCCACATGAAAGATCAATTGTGTGTCTGCTATTACTGTTTATAGTGTCACATTGAGAATTTACAATTTTCGAATTATTCGAGTAGAGTGATTCTCGAGAATGACAGACTGTCAGTTGACCATCGGATGAGCCTTCAATCTGGAGAGAATAATTTATTTAAAAAATTTGTTGATTACACTTTTTTAACTTTGAATTTTAAATTAATATTCACTTTTTTAAAATTAATATTCACTTTCTTAAAATTAATATTCTCTTTAAATTTAAAATTAATATTCGCTTCAAGTTCTAAATTAATATTTACATTAAATTTAAAATTAATAATTTACTTTAAATTTAAAATTAAATTCTCCTTAAATTAAAAATTAATATTTGTTACAGTTGTGAAAAATAATTATTGTTTTCTTTTTTAGACTTACAATTACTTTGGGAGTCCAGTCTGTTGAGTGAAAATAATTGGGATGAATTCTGTAAAATTTGGTTCCACGAGGTTCTACAGAATCGGAAAATGGTGCCGATTCCTCTCGAGACTGGTATCTTGATCCACATTGTGAATTGACGAGACGTTTTGGATCTGCGAAAGAAGAATATTCATTGCAGTTGACAATTAACAAAAGGTGAGAAAAAAAACTAATAATAACAGGGTTGCCACAGGTCAGGGAATTCAGGAAAAAGTCAGAAAAAGTAGAATTGGTCAGGGATTTTTTTAAAAGTACTGGAAAAAATTTAATTTTTAGAATTCATAAGGAAATTTTGAATTTTTGTGTTTTTTTTGTCTGCCTCATAAACTATGAAATTGCCAAGAAATCTTCAATTTTTTCTATTTCTGACAATAATTTCTAATTAAATAACTTCATTCAGTAATAGATAAACTTCAGAAGGTATTATTTTGAAATCTTATAAAACTTCAATTTTGAATGAATTTAATTAGAAATTTTAAAGAACTTAGATTTTTGGAAAATTGTAATATTTGAAATTCTTCTGAAACTAGTTCAATTTTTTAATATATATTTAATTAATTATTAAAAATAATGGATTAATAAAAGAATTTTAGTTAAAAACACTAAAAAATTTGCATTTTGGAGAAGTTATAAATGATTGCAAAAATTCAATTATAAGTTAAATTATTTTTTGACAACTCTTACATTCTCGGAGTCTTGAAATCAAGGAATCAATCGGATATAAATTGGAAGTTGAAGGCGACGATGAAATAACGAATACATCTTCAGATTTCACGTAATAGGTTGCCATTTCTTTTCGTCCTGACGTTAAGAAGAGAAAATAAGCATCTGCAAAAAAAGGGGTAAAAAAATTGATGAAAATTGAAAAATTCGGAAAAGTAAATACTTTGGAAAATAGAGGAAAAATTAGTAATTTTTACCAGGGATTTCCAATCGCATATTTTGCATTATTCCGGTAACACATTCTTTCACTTTGTCATCGTCTGATGAACTGAGATATGGAACAAATAATATAATGTCCACATTGCCTCCCCCATTTTTTTGAGTATGTTCTCTGTCCAATTTTTCTTTGAGTAAACGTTCCACAATTTCAATGCTCTGACACATGTTAAATCCTTTGTCGACTGGAAAATATAACAAAATATTCGAAATTTGCTTAAATTTTTTCTCAAAAGAATTTTTTTATCGTGTCCACTTTTACTTTAACAATAACAATTATAAACAATTATTTACGTAGACTAATAATTTTGTTCACTTGAAATAAATTTCCCGGGCAAAAATAGTCTTTTAATTAAAAAGAATAATTTTTAGAATTGAAAGTTTAGTATAAAGGCAAAATTTCGTACATTTTTCGTAATTGGATGCATTAAAGTTGTATAAATCCAGAATCGTGTTGCTTGAATTAATCATAATTTTTCCACTTTTGCTACTTAGTAGAGTGAAATTACTGTTGTATTTACCGACTTCAATGCCTTCTAATAGTTTTCTGAAAAAATGTTTAATTATTAAATAAAGTCACTTTTTATTTGAAATACAAAAAAAAAATTATTCTTCATTACTTACGAAAGTATGGGTTGAATATATTTAAACGGCCAATTAGTATCGAGAACAATAGTCAGATCGACATATGTTCTACTAAAATCGTTGTGACGATCAGTTTCGGCACAAGAAAGATCGTCTTTTAGTAAATTCGCTGTTCGGAGTAAACATATTTTCAGTTTATCTTATTTTTATTTAATTTTTAAATTTAAAAACCAAAACAATTAAATTTTATTTAATTTTTAATATCGGATATCATTTTTTTTAATAAAATAAATACAACTTATTTCAATGTTTATAGTATGAAAAATAATTATACAAAAATCCTTCAAATTGATTTCAATTTATTTTTGAATAATTTTTCTAATTCAATTATCGGAATATACAATTAAAGAAATTTTGAATAATTGAAATTTTGTAAAATTTTATTGACAATACTTGATTTTTTTCAAGTAATTTATTAGAATTTTTGAAAATCAACTTTTGAAGAAGTTGAATTGTATATTTTGAAAATAATTAAATTCTCAAAAATTTGAATGAAAATTAATTTAATTAATTTAAGCTATCAAAAATTACAGTTATTAAAATACTTTTTAAAAAAAAGTAAGTCTTAAAATTTTCCCTTAGATATAATTTTTTAAAATTCATTTATTTTTAATATTTTCCTAAAATTGGTTAGTTTTTTAAAATTATTCAAAAATTTTTTTCAAGAAATTCAATTACTTACAAAAAATTAAAATTCAATATTGTAAAGAAAAAATTTTCTAGGTTTAAATTTTGTTTAAATTTGAAGAATAAAAATTTTAAATTCTAAAAATTTAGTTACACATTTTCAATAATTTACTTTAATAACTTAAAAAAAAATAATGAAGAGTTACAGTTACAAATATAAATAATTGAATTTTTGTTTATTAGTACAAATAAAATTATAAATTACCAAGATCAGTGAAAAGTTGACTAGAAATTCTTTTACTGTAGTCTCTCAGTATAACATCGTCCATTGTTGCCAAAGCCAAATCTTTCATTATCTTCATTGCACTGTAAGTCTAAAACATATTTTACTTTTCAGATTTAATATTATTTAATTAATTTAATTTAATCCATTTAACGAATTATCGAGTTGCATTTTCTAATGGAATTCGCATTTAGTCGAAATTTCATTCAACTGAATTTCCACTGAACCAAAATTGCTTTCAATCGAATTTATAAAAATTGGAAAGAATATTTAGACGAATGTTTAATTCGATGCTGAAATTAATTCGTCTAATGAAAATATTCATCTAGTCAGCAGTAAATTTAATTTGAAGACATTTTTCTAAAATTAAATTGACGGTGAAAAATAGTTTTGATTCCACGTACATATTTTTGTCAAAATAGCTCAAAATAGCTTTTTAGAATTTTTGGATCTTAATCTTGTTAATTTTAATATATATTTTATTTTTGTCTGTGGGAAATATTTTTAAAAAAATTTAATTTACTAACAATTTTCTTAATTTTTTTTTTTCGTTAACCAATGATCTAAATTTCAACTTGTTAATTTTTTTTTGTATTTAAATTAATAATACCTGATCTTCTAATGTTTCAGTTGTTGGCGCTGATTTGGTTAGAAGTTGTTGACGATTACAAGCGCGCACTTGTGGATTAAGTGAACCCCTTGGACTGTAATACATGTCTAAAACTTGTGAAAGTCTAATTCTATTTCTCTCATCAACACTCCATGAAGCGATTTCATTTGCAATGTTCAGACCATCAATGTCTCCTCTTAATAATGGTTTCGTCAACTCGAGATGTTCATTGGAGTCGAGGAAAAACCATCGAGGCATTTCTGACGAATTCCATTTACCATTTGCTCCAATTATAAAAGGTATATTTTTTTCCTCAACAATTGGTGCTTGACGCCAGCAAGCTGCAGCTAGATCACCTAATTTATAGAATTATTATTTATTTTTTAAGTCAGTTTGCAAATGATTATGGTACAAATGATCCAAAATAAAACTTTCAAACCGAAAATTACAGGAAAAATATTCCAAAGTCTTTCTTTATCAAATTTCAAATTTCAAACAAAAAATTTTTATTCAAAGTACCAAAAATCTCATCAATAAAATGTTTACGATTAAAAAAAGTTCAAATTTAAAGGTTCTAATGTAAATGAGAAGAGAGATTAAAATTTATCAGAATTAAAAGAAAAAAAATTAAAAAATATTTAAAATGGAAGTAGAATTCAAAAAATTCAAAATAAGTGGAAACATTTTATTTAAAACATAAGTAGTAGCGAATAGCTTTTAAATATCCAAGAACAACATTTTCATTTATAACTTTCGAAATTATAATTTTTTGAACTTTTATTAATTTTAAATCAGAAATAATTCAAGTCTTGCATAACATTTTATTAAAATTCTTGAAAATAATTGAATTGTGTTGAAGAATTTTATTAAAATTGTATGGAAGATAACTGAATTCTTATAAACAATTTTATGAAAATTTTTGAAAATTAAATTGTTTCGACGTTTTTTTAGAGTAAATTTGAGTATTTTATTTTTAGAGTAAATTAGAAAATTCTTTGGGATGCAGAGAAAAAGTCAAAATTCTTTCTGAAAATCAGGGAGAAACAAAATCAAATCTTTGTAGCAACTCTGAAATTATAATTTGAAATTTTCTAAATTTGTACTTTTCTTTTGGAACTTTTGTCTCGGTCGTACGAATTGACATTTCTTGGTTTGAATTTATTATTTAAAGGGAATAATTTGTGTGGAAAATGTTATAATTGCAATAATACCCGATAATGTGGCGAACCACTTGTTATTTATTTGTGGAGTTCTCATGAAATATTCCGGTCCCACATTTTCGCCACTCATTAGTTGACTTATACTAATTAATTGCGGTTGCATCGCAGCGGCAATTGCTGCTATAAGCGGTCCTCCCGAAACCTCACCCCATCTAAACAAATTTACAAACTTTTACTTCTGCTCTATTATTATTTCAGTGCTTAAATACTGAAATATCCAATTTTGTTTTTAATTCGATTTTTTGTTAATTAACATGAATTACTTCGTTTTGATGACACCACTGTAAACAGGACATGAACTAGGCTCTACTACATATTGTGCAACTGCGGGATGATTTGGGGGGAATTCCGGATAATATGAATTCGGATCGACACCACTATCCTCTTCCTGTTTGGTATTCGTCATACTTTGTCTAAAAGATAAAAAGTTGTCATTCTTTTTTAAAGAAAAAAATTATCAAAATCAAAGTACTTTTTAGATATTTGTTTCTATTCAATTTTCTCGTTGCTTTTTGAAAATTTTTCTAAATATAATTCGAAAATTGTCAAATTAAAAGTACTTCGCAAATATTTGTTTCTATTATTTTTTTCTTTTAAATTTTGTTTAATAATCAAAAATTTGAGAGAGGAAAAAATTTTGTTTGGGTATTTTTTTTATAAACAATTACGTACATTTCTTGAGGAGAGAGCATTTCAACAGCATCATTTGCTCCTTCTTCTTTGATTTTGAGGAATTTCTTATCAACGCTTCTTGGAAATCGATAGGCATTGTCATAATTTCTATTGCAATTCTCATCATCTCTCTTCTCTCGCTCTACTGTGTCTGACAGCATAAAATGCAATGTGCACTAAAATAATTAAATGACAATGAGAAAAAAATGTCCACTTACAATTAGATAGCTTTCAAAAAATAATTTTTTTACGATTCATTTTATTTTCTTTTAAATGGGTTTAATATTTTTTTATGATTCTTACTCTTTCTACGTCAGAAATACTGCTATTTGGAAATGTCATTGCATCACCGGCTATAACTTTCAGTAACTTTACAAATCGACTAAATGTATAGTATCTAGAAGCGTAGGGAATGAAATTACTTCTGGCAGGCGCTTTTAATCGTAGAATCCCATCTTGACGAAATCTATTATTATAGTTAATAAAATACAATTTATATTTATTAATATTTATAAATTTATATTAATATATATTTATTCGAATGAATAGAATTTTATTAAGTTTTTTGAAAATAATGTAGTTTTCTTTAAATTTTAATTGAAAATTTTGAAAATAATTGTATTTTACGAAGAATTTATCTTGAGTTTTTAAAATTATCGTCTTTGTTAATGATTGAGATTAAAAATTTGACTATTGGATTTTGTAAAAATTTTTTTGGAAATAATTGAAAAAATTTAATAATTTTTAAAAATTTTAATAAAATTGTTTGCAGGAATTCAATCATTTTAAATAAAAATTTAATAAAATTTCCTGAATAGAGTCAAATATTAAAAAAAAATTTTAATAAAATTCTTTAGAAGAATTAAATTATTTTCAGTACAATTAAATTCCTTGGAAAAATTTTAATTTTCTTCGAATAAATTGAATTTGTATTTTTACAAATTTTTTGCTACTTTTCTTATTATTTTTGTAAATAATAAAGTTCTACGCAGGAATTCAATCAATTTCAATACAAATTTAAAAAAAATTATACTGAAAATAATTGAACTTCTCTGAAGAATTTTATTGTTTAAGAAAATAATTTAATTGCCTCTAAAAAAATGAAAAATTTTTCCAATAAGTTTAAAATTGTATTTAAAATTTTTAAACAATTGAATTCTTAATTTCTTATAAAGAATTATTTCAAAGTTTTTAATAAAAATTGAATTCATTCAAGAAGTTTTATTAAAATTTTATTGTAAATGATTAAATTCCTGCGAAGAATATTATTATTGAATGAAAATAATTGAATTCTTGTCAAGAACTTTCTTAAAATTTTCGAAAATAATTGAACTTTTTTGAGAAATATAATTGAAATTGTATTGAAAGAAATTTAATTCTTGTGAAGAATTTTATTATTTTTGAAAATATTTGAATTTTTGCAAAGAACTGTATTAACATTTTTGGAAACTGGGAAATAATTTTAGAATTTGTCGAACGAATTAAAATAGTCATGAGAATATTTATGTTTAAATTAATTTCCTATATTTTTGTAAATTATTGAAATAATAAAAAAAATTACCCATGCAAAAGAGCCTGAGAAAGAGCAGTTAAAGTCCGCATAGTCGAACCCGGTGATTCTTCGATTTTTCGAATAATTTCGATCAATGTAATCATATTGTGGGGTAATCTATTATCTCGCGTCAAGAGATACGAATTATTATAGCATTCAAGAATCGAGGGCATAATTAGGACACCATTTGAATTATCCTGTGCATTAACCGCTGAAAATAAATACCCTCCATTATTTCATTGTCAGTTGCATTAAAATTAACAAAAATTATTTTTTCTTTTCTCTCTAAAAAAAGAATTCAGTCAAAAAGATATTAATATTTCTTTAAATATTAATTTACTTACCAAGGAAACTGATAACACTCAAGCACAAAAATACGTATTTAGCCATGTTTAAAAAAAATAATTTCCCTTTTACACTATAATTGAATTTTACACTTTCTTCTGAACAAAACTGAAAAATTTTTCGCAGAATACTGTTTTTTTCATAATAGAAATAATGTCACTTGTTATTAATTTCTTCTAACTAGGGGGATTTTTATTTGATTAATTTTGATTTCTTTTTATTTCTTTTTATTTCAGACACAAGAAGTTGATCATTTTTGGGGACACTTTTTTTGGCGAGGAAAAAAGAAGAGAGATATTGATTAAAAGTTCATTTCGAGTGAAGAAAAATGACTAATGATTAATGAGCTGGTGAACTGAAAACCATTTACCACACCTTCCATCCGACACACAAGAACCTACCATCCCTATCGTGAGATAAGATACCTTATCTGATGAGTAACATATTTCTCACCTATGACCAGAAAAAGGATTTGAAATTTGAATGATCTTGTTTGTTTAAATAAACAGGTTTTTCATTTTCACCACGCAAGGAAATTAGTCAAGTAAATAACACTTTTCCATTTTGTCCTGATTTTCGTTTTTCTTCATTTGAATGTCGTCTTCGTATTCATACAGACAATCGCTTCACAATCGTTTTCACACCTTAGTGAAACAATAATTGACTGCTAAAATTATCCATTTGACTCACTTTTTTCGTCAGTTTATTTATAGGTGAGTCAAATGAATCATTTTCGAGATTTATAATTGTCAATATTACTTATTAGCTTGTTTTCATATTTGGAATTCAGTCAGTTTCATTAAATATTTTCAATGATATTTTCAGTGGTTGTTACAATTTGTTTACGAAATTATTTAAAATGAGAATGTATAAAGAAATACGAAAAATACTTTTTCGTATGTTAAAGTGTAAATTTAAAACTTATTTTTTTCTAAACGATTTTTTTTCGGAGCTTGAATAAATAAATTTTGATTCTCGGTGCTTTTGTAATAAATTGAAAATGTGAAATAGTATTTTTATCGAAGTGTCCAGTATTCTGTAAATCTAGTGAAATATTGTGATTGTAATGTGATGATACATGTGTAGAAATAATTGGGACACCTTTTTTTACAGGTTGTGGATTATCTTATCACGCATAGTGGACCGTTATCTTTTTTTCAATCTCTGTAACTCTGGTGTGAGTCATTTGAAAAGTGTATATACAGTAAAAAGAACTCAAGAATTGTCTATGGCAGAATGCTAAAAATGTCATAAGATTTAAAGAATGAAAACGATTTGTTTTTTACTCCTAACATTCTATGGTGAGTTTTTTAAACCTCTACTTTGTTAAATTTCAATTAAATCTAACTTTTATAACTTTTTTACTGAGGAATTTTTTTACTGGAGAAAAGAGATTTTATGAATTACTGTTATTGTTTATACTCTACTTCTTTAATTAACTTTATTTATTTACTCTATTTATACTATATAAATAGAGGAGAAAAAAGAAAATTTAATATTTAAATTAATATTTCGTTTTATATTTAATTTAATATTTAAATTTTAAATATATTTATTATTTTTCAGGCGTTTGCGTCGTGATATCAAGTAAGCAGATTCCTGAACATTTAATAAAATGTTACAAAAATGAAAATATTTGGGGATTTCAACTGCCATTAAATTTAAGAGTAATTGTTGACATTATCCGAAAAATTGAAAGGCAATCTTTTTCAACTCTTCATATGAAAACACTGACAACTTCTTTATTGCGAAGGTAATTCCATCAAGTACTTTAAATATAGTCAAAACATTCATCTTAATAAATAAAAATCCTAAAGATCTTTTTTTTTTTTTCTAATTTTGTAGTTGTAAAAAATTAACAATTATTTTTGAATTAATAATTGGTGTATTCTGGTAATCTGTTTGCAATTTGAAATTAGTTGTTTATATTATTTGTTTTTTCAATATTTTCCGATAATTTTTCTTTTTAAATGTAAATTTTTAAATTAATGAAATTTTAATTTAATGCTCTCAAGAATCAAAAATAACAAATTATTATAGAAAAACTAATTAATTATTCAAAAATAAGTTTTATAGAAAAATTGTAGCAAGAATAATTTGGTACAATAAAAATTGTACTGAAATTATGTTAATTCTTCTAAAGACTTTTATTAAAATTGTATTGAAAATAACTGAATTCCTCGGACGAATTTTGTGACTTATAAAAATAATTTAATTCTTTGCCACAAATTTTATTAAAATTTTTGAAAATAATTGAATTCCTGCGAAGAATTTCGTTATTTATAAAAATAATGCAATAAAAAATAATATAAAACAAAATTTTTAAAAATACAAATTCAATTGTTTCCAAGAAAATTTTAATTCTTAATTAAGAAAATTAATTAAAAGTGTACTAAAAATAATTGAATTCTTTTAAAGAATGTTATCATAATTTTGGAAAATAATTGAATTCTTTCAAGGAATTTTACTAAAATTTTCTAAAATAATTGAATTGAATGAAATTTGATTGAAATTGAATGAAAAATAATTAAATTTTTGCCAAGAATTTTATTTAAATTTTCTAAAATAATTGAATTGAATGAAATATGATTGAAATTAAATGAAAAATAATTGAATTTTTGCCAAGAATTTTATTAAAATTTTCTAAAATAATTGAACTGAATGAAATTTGATTGAAATTAAATGAAAAATAATTGAATTTTTGCCAATTTTATTAAAATTTTTTAATACAATTTAAGTTGAAAAAATTTAATATTCATCCGATTAAGTTAGTTTAAATTTTATTGAAAACAAATTAATTTTTTAAAAGATTCTATTACAATTTTTGAAAACAGTTAAATTCTTTCGCCCAATTTTATATAAACTGTTCTCGAGGTATTTTATTGAAACTGTATTTAAAATAATTAAATTCCTGCGAAGAATATTATTATTTAATGAAAGTAATTGAATTCTTGACAAGAATTTTATTAAAATTTTTGAAAATAATTAAATTTTTTCGAAGAATTTATTTGAATTTTTTTAATTTTAATTGAAAATTCTGAAAGTAATTGGATTTTCTGAGAATGACTGTCAAGTCTTTAAAATATTGTAGTTATTAAAAATATGATTATTGAATTTTGTTTAAATTTCCAGGAAGTGATTAAAATCTTTTGATATTTTTATTACAATTTTTAAAAATTATGAATTTAATTAAGCAATTTTATTAAAATATTGAAAATATCTGAATTCTTTTGAAGCATTCCTTTAATTTTTTAATTTATAATCGATTTTGTTAATAATTGTAATTAATAATTTTATTGTTAAATTTCATAAAAGTTTTTGATAAAAAATTGAATTCTTTTGAACAATTTTCTTAGTTTTCGTAAATAATTGAATTCTTTCGAAGAATTTCTTTAAGTCTTTTTAAAAATAATGGAGTTTTTTTTTAAATACAGTTTTAGTAGAAAATTTTGAAAGTAATTGAATTTTACGAAGAAGTTCTTTTAAGTTTTTTAATTTATTGTGTTTGTTAATAATTTTTATTTTTAAAAATTAGATTATCAAATTTTATTAATTTTTTTTGGAAATAATTGATTTTTTTTTAGAATTTGATTACATTTTTTGAAAAGAATTGAATTCTTTCGAGAAATTTTATTGAAATTGTTTTGATAATAGTTGAATGAATTCGAAAAAGTTATTATTTATGAAAATAATCGAATTTCATAAAAATTTTTAAGAATAATTGAAATCTTTCGAAAAATCGTATTAAAATTTTATTGAAAATAATTGAAATCTTGTGAAGAATTTTTCAAAGTAATTGAATTGTTTCGAGGAATTTTATTAAAATTAAAGAAAATAATAATAAATAACGATATTAATTAATTATGAAGTTAATAAGTGAATTTTTTGAAATTTTGAATCTGAAATTATTTAAATATTGAAGTTGATATTTGAAAATAAAAAAATTTTGTTATTTACCTGCTAATAATAGTAATAAATTTAATGAAAATGTAATTTTTCAGATTCAAATTAGATGGAATTCATCGGAACAGTGAAGTTTCTTCGTCGAGTAGAATTTTGCCATTTATTGCAAATCAACCGCAAAGAATAAAACAGGAAATAATTGAGGAATTGATTCCTGGAGATGATAGAGCATTCCCGGCTGTAAATCTCACATTATTAGAATATTGCACCCTACATCAGGCAATTTCCAATACCATTTGGTATTCTCAACGCAATGATGAAGATAATTTTTGTATTTCTGGTCCCTTGGAAAAAATTGTCGACGACATTAATCAACGAATTAGACATTGTTATTTATTGGCGACATTTGCACGAGATTTAATGACAAAATGCATTGATGAAAATGTAACAACAGCGGAGAAACTTTGTCCAAAAGAAAATGGTGTTATTTTAACACAATTTGGCACAATTTCACTGGGAAGTGTGATTAATGCTATTGCAGCATCTCTTGTACCACAAAAAGTTCAACTCAATACTTTAATTTCTTTGAGAAATCAAAAATATTCGAGTAAGTTTTATTCTTTCTGAAAATATTAATATTTATAATATTCATTTTTATTTTATTTATTTTTAGATATAAATTTTACTATTAAACTGTTTTATTATTATTTATTGATTTTTTATATTATTGATTTAAATTAAAAGTTTTTATAGTTCATAAAAATTAGAAAACAAGAATAAAAAATCACGGACGATAATATTTCCACAATTTTAGAAAAATGGTTTATATTTTCTATTTAATATTTAATTTTTCAATCACTTAAATATTAATTATCTTTTTCAGAGAACGAATCGAGTAAATTTAATTTTAATCAAGAAGAAGTTGATCTAATTGTTCCGAAAGATCAAATAATGTTACAACGATCAATGTGGATACAATCACTGTCCCATTCACCATTGAAATTGAATAATATTTGGGCTGCATCCCTGGCAGGTAATTTTTTTTCTAAAACCGTTTTTTCTTATTGATATTATTAATTTAGATATTTGTGAATCATTAAAAAATTGTTAATCATTAAACATAATTAATTACATTAATTAAATGAATTTATTTTAGATACGAATAATTAATTTAATTTATTTTAGTTGCGAATAATTAATATAATCTATAATAACTATTATTATGAATAATAATTTAATTAATAGTTATAATTTTTTATTTCATTAAAATTAATTACAGTATTAATTTTTTTCCATTTCAGGAGAATTAGCCGAAGTTGTTGTTTATCAAGGACCAATTTTTACATCGACAATGTCAATTGGAGCAACAGGATTTTGGAACAGTTCAATACGACCTGCTGTCTTTTATGTGTCTAATAAACGTGGTCTTTTCGATGCAACGAGAGCGGAAATAATTGGAAGCATCGACGGTCTGGTGATTGCTAAAAATTTACCTCTCTGGATGGAAAATTTCGATAGTCTTCGATTGAGTCAAATTTTAGATATGTATTATTCCAATCGAGGAGTTTCATTCAATAAGAATATAAAAGCTTGCGAGAGGGGGAGAAATTTTATTCACATTGCGCCTGGAACGATAATTGAAGAAGAGGTCTGTTTAATATTTTTCTCATTACTTCTATTGCTCTTGATTTACAATTTTTCTGGTATTATTCAATTTTTGAATTTCTTTCGTTTTTAATTTAGAAATTTAATTAAATAATGAAAAATTAAAGTTGAATCTAATTTTTTAATTTAATTTTTGAATTTGAGTTTTTGAGTTTCAAAAGAATTTAAGAGTAATTCAGTTTTAAGAAATATTTTATTTACTTTTTACAACGTTTATAATCAGTAATTTAGAAGAAAAAATATTTTTGCAAATTTTTATAAAATATGTTTAAAGAATTCAATTTTTTTTTTGAGTTTCGTTCTAATTTAATTTTAATTTTTGTATTTGAATTGAATTAAAATTTACTTTTAGCTAAAAATTAGTTTAAAATTGTAGAAAAAAAATTTAATAGCTTTGAATTATTTCTAGACTTTCGCAATTTCCAAACTTTTGGCTTATCGAAATGGTGCTGTTTACATGGACGATGTGAATTTACAAAAATTTGTAAATTATGCGACCAATACGTTCTCTTATTATGTGAATAATCACGTTTTTACTGAATCGAGATGTCGCGAGGAAACTCGTCAACCACGAGTGGAACTTATTGTTACATTTGATGGTTCCTGGTCACCGGAATACACCAATGATTTTTTATCGTAAGTGGAAATTTTTAAGAATATTAAAAATATAATTTAATGATAAGTTTTTAATTTTTTATTATTGAATTTTTAAATTTATTTTAGGTATTAAATTTTTTTTTATTAAATTTGTTATTTTGTTTTGCTAGATTTTTTGTTATTAAATTTTTAATTTTGTTTTATTAAATTTTTAATTTAATTGTTCGAAGCGAAAACTTTTTTTCTATTTGGTGCGTCATGTTTTTATAATTTTTGTATTTTACAAGCGTTTTAGTAGAAGATGTCGACGTTTCTCTATTTGGATCAAAAATGGGATTAATACACGCAACAAGTGGAAAATGGTTATTTAATCTCACGAATAGTCCGGCTAGTGTTTATGAAAATTTACGCAATTTAACAAAAATGAAATGTACGTACAAATTTTTTAGTTCCCTCTTGATAAACACTTGATCTGATTAAATTTATTTTTTTCAGGGCCTGGTGGATTAAATTACACCGCAGTGCTTGAAGGAGTTTTCGATTATTTAGAAATTGCTTGGGAAGAAAATAGAAAAACGTCTAATATCGGAAATGTGGGACAGGCTCTTCTTGTACTTGCACCTCGAACTCGATTAAGTGCAAGCGATCAACAGTCGGCATTGAATCTCATCTTGAAAATTAAACAAAAACATCCAGGTGAGTCTGTTATTTCGTATATTTTTCCAATGACGAAAATATAAATATGTGACGCGCCCAGAAGAATAATTAATTATTATTAACTATTTTATTGTTTACTTTATTTATTTCATACTTATTTTTATACTTTGCTTTTTTATTTTTACTTTGTTTTTTATGCTTTGCTTGAATTTCAATTCTAAATTTCAGAAATGCATTTTCTCTATTTCGTGATGAATGGAGTAACAGATTTTTTTCAAAAGTTCATTATTTCCGATGAAGATCATTTAATATTAAGTCCTACAATAGATGACATTACAAGACTTCTTACGGAAAGTAAGTTAAATTTTTAATTTACTTTACTAATTAATTAATTTACCTTGAATCGTATTTTTAAATCAGAAATTTTAAGTTCCAGTAACTTTGAGACCAGTGTTTGGTCATAATAATTCTCTGGGAGTTGCAAAAATGCAAATGGAAGACTACATCAATCTCGAAGAATCGATCACGTACAAATTGCATTCACACTGGAAATCAAATATCAAGAAAACTACACTAACAGTAATAATAAATTTCTTATTTTTCAATTCTTGATTTAATGTTCTTTACGAAAATGAAAAATTTCGTTTTTTTTGCAGGTTCACGGAGTTGGATATGGAACAATAAAAATATGCTTTCGAACGAAACAGAAACTTGAAGACTCGCCAAAAGAATTAAATTGTCAAACATTATCGGCCTTTGAGGATATTAAATTCGAGGATTTTTCTCCTTGCTCCTGGAACAATTGCTCTCATCTCTTCTATGAGGTTCAATATCAGAAATCTTTAATGAAATGCGCAGGTGAGTTTTCTATCTCTATGCAAAATGAATTAAGTAAAATAAGATAAGATCCACAAGTCTTGAACCTTCAAATGAACGAAATATTGTCACGAATTACTGATTGGAATAAAAATGAAAAATTTTGATTTAACATTTTAACTAATTTTAATTTGACTTTCTATTTTTTTTGATACGCGATGCAAAAATTTTGTAATGAGATTCTAATTTTCTAATTTTGAAATTCAATTCATTTGAACGTTTATAACTTTGGGAACATCAATTCAGGAAATAATATCATTAATATTTCTTTGCTTTAATTTGTAATATAACAATATAGCATTACAAATAAAAATCGAATTAAAATAGGAAAGGATATTAATAATATTATTTCTTTTTTTAGAAATTGATTGCAAAACTCCGAATCAAGTAAGATACATATTACAAATAGAAAACGTGCTGTCTTCAAAGTGTCAGAAAATAATTTCCAGATTTAATCTCGTAATTATTACAATATTAGCTACATTTTATATTTTTTAAAAGGGAAAGAGAGAAAGAGAGCATATTTTTGAGTGAGAGCAGTACTGATAACTAAATATAAGCTACAATGTTATTTTATAAAATAAGGTAAACAATTATTTATAAAATAATACATTTAGTATTTGAATTACAAATTTTTTTACATTCTCCATGATACAAAAATTATACATATACGATAAATAAGCTATGGTTAAAAATTTAAAAATTTAATAATTTTTAAAATGCATCTAATCACTTGTATCAATTTTAAATTTCGAACTTCGAAATTTTAAGTTAAGTTGCAATCGACAGGTATTGTAAACAAAGGGACTGTTGACTTTCAAAGTTTGATAAAAATGGGTTAAACATTAGGTAACTTTTCAGAAATTCGACTCCAATCTTCTTGTTTCTGAAACAAATTAATATTTTTACTATATAGGTGAGAATTTAAAAGTAATTAAGTTTTAAGAAATATTTTATTTACTTTGGTGAAGTTTACAACGTTTGTAATCAGCGATTTAGAAGAAATAATATTTTTCTATTCAAATTTTTATCTAAAAACAATTTTTTACAATATTTCTTGATCAAGAACTTAAGAAAGAAAAATTTGTACAGAAAAAAATTATTTTTTGCGCAAAAAGTATTTTTTTCACTCAATTTCTGATCATAAACGTTGTGAACTTCATCTACCTTTTTATTTTCATATTATTATTATTATTTACTATTTTCTAGAATTTTATTAAAATTCTTGGAAACAATTCAATTATTTTCAAAAATTTTAATAAAATTCTTTGAAATAATTCAATCACTTTGAAAAATTCTAATAAATTTCTTCGCAAGAATTCAATTTTATTTTTATGAATAATAAAATTAATTTCAGGAATTCAATTATTTTCAATACAATTTCAATTAACTTTTTCGAAAGAATTCAATTGTTTTTAAGAATTTTAATAAAATGTTTTATAAAAATCAATTATTTTCATAAATAATAATTTACTTCGCATGAATGCAATTATTTTGAATATATTTTGATACAATTTCTTGAAAGAATTTAATTATTTTCCAAACATGTAATAAAATTCTGGGAAGAATCCAATTATTTCCAGAAAATGTTAATAAAATTCAATAATCAAATTTTCAATTACAATTATTAACAATCATGATTATTTCAAAAATATGAAAGAAACTGTTCGTAAAATTTAATTACTTTCAAAATTTTTAATTAAAATTATTTTAAAAATACATTTTCAAAAAACTTGAAAATATTCTTCAAAAGAATGTAATTACATATTTGCGAAAAGTCGAATAAAAATATTTATAAGAACTCAATTTTTTATGAATAATTTTAATAAAATTTAATAATAAAATTATTAGTTACAATTATTAACAAAATCGATTATGTTCCAGAAATTAAAAAAATGGTACAAAAGAATTGAATTATTTTAAGAAATTTTAATAAAATTGATAAAGAAATTCAATTATTTAAAAAAAATTGTTGTAAAATTCTCAGAATAATTTAATTATTTCTTGAAGAGTTTAATAAAGTTCAATAATTAAATTTTTATTTACTACAATTATTAACAAACACGATTATTTAAAAAATTTAATAGTTAAATTCTTCGTATAATTCCATTACTCTCAGAATTTTTAAAAATAAAATTGTAAAAAACATTTTTTTCACAAGCATTCAATTTTTTTCAAAAGTTTTCATAAAATTCTTCTCAAGAATTCAATTATTTTCATTAAAAATAAAATTCTTGGCAGGAAGTTAATTGTTTTCAATTCAATTACAATAAAATTCCTGAAAAAAATTCCATAATTTTGACGAATTTTTATAAAATTTGTTGAAAAGAATTCAATTATTTCAAAAAAATTTTCATACAATCCTTCAAAAAAATTCATTTATTTTCAATACAATTTTAACTAAATTCCTCGGAGGGAAATTAAATTTCTGCGAATTAAATTGTTTTCAAAAATATAAATAAAATTCTTGTCATGAATACAATTATTTTCATAAATAATAAAATTCTTCTCAAGAATTCAATTATTTTCATATTTATTAAAATCCTTTGAAGGAATTCAATTATTTTCAATTTTTAAATTATTTTTAATAAAATTCTTTGCAAGAATTCAATGATTTTTTATGCATTAATTTTTATTTTCAAAGCGTTTAAAAAGTAAAATAATAATAATGATAACAATAATAATAAAAACATAAAACAATTTGAAAACAAAATAATTATTACATTTTATTTACCTTAGGTTGTTGACAGTAAACCACTTCTCGGCCTTTATTGACCGAAATTCATCTTCTCTTGATCTGCTGCCAAATGAAATTTCGACATTAATGGAATAAAGTGAAGATTGCTATGATCTTTACTGTCTTCGTGCCCAGCATGACTTCCATGATCGACGTGATCACCATGGTCACCATCATTTCCATGATTGCCGTGATCACCATGGTCACCATCACTTCCGTGATCGCCGTGATCGCCATGGTCACCATGACCCCCATCAGCACTGTGACCACTGTGATTATCAATTGACAGGAAGAAAATAACACTCCAGGTAATGAAAGCAACAATTAAAATAAGAGACGCTATTGTGCTGAATCTATCCCATCCGAAAATAATTTCTCTCGATGATCTGTTTTCTTTTATTTGAGTACTGGCGCAAGCACACGTACTAGTTGAACTTGAACATTTATTCATTTTAATGTCTGTTTTCTTTTTTTTCTTTTTTGATTTTCTTTTCTTTTCGTAAAAACTTTTTTTTTAGAAAACTAGACTTTAAAATCACTCACAGGTAGTCACACACTCAACACTACTTTCTAAAATTACTACACATCATTACAAGAAAAATAAAATATTTTTAACAAATTGAATTCTCGCATAGCGTCGATAAGATAAGATTATCAATTATAATCTCTCAAATTTACAGTGATTTGTGGGAATGCGATCGTTTACCCAATACAAAGTAAAAAAAACGACATTTAAAAAATAGAATAAATATTATTTTTTATTGATTTCTAATCAAATTGATTATTATTCTAGTTTTTGACGTTTAAATGAATGAAATTTTTTTTCTATTTGAATATTTTTCAAAATTACTATACAAACAAGAAAAATAGTTAAAATTAAATATTTATTTAGTTGGGAATTAGTTTTTTAATGTGAAAAATAATTTTTTTTATCAAGAAAATACAAATTAAGAGGAGTGACAAAATATCGTCATTCATTTGAACGTTAAAAATTTCGGGAATATTTAACGATTCATATTTGAAAATAACTTGTTAATTAATTTAATTTAACTTATTTTTGATCCACAAGTTTTGAAGGTTCAAATGAACTAAATTTTTTGACAATATAATTTTCGAAAATTACTGACTGATATAGAAAGCAAAAACAAAATTGAATATAATTTATTTTTTTGAATGCGAGACGTAATATTGCAATAAAAATTTAAATTTGAAGAAGAGGAAATAAATTTCGTTCATTTGAACGATCGGAATTTTAGGGATTTTTTTCAAGTCTATTTTCTTTAATGGAATTTAATTACATTAGTGGAAGGAAAAAACTTGAAGTACTAAAAATTAAAATACAAAAATAGTAATAAAATAATCAATTAATTTAATTACGAGCAACATTCGTTATTGTCGCTTCGAGATTTTTGCCAAGCAAATAAGAAATAGCCAAAACTCATTCCAAGAACTACAGCAATGCATAAATAAACATTGTACGTCATGAAAATAAACATTAAAAAGTAGCCTAAAATTGCTTGAATTGCGTGTAGAATTGTTTGAATAGCGTGAACAATTGACAGTATTCCTTTCCTGAAAAAAAAATAATGAAAAATTTTAGAAACAAATAATAGGATTATTTGCGATTTTATGCATTTTCTGTTGAAACAAAATTACTTCTTTGATAAAACTCTGTGTTGGCAATTATTTGAAGTTATTTTGTAAAGGTAGTCACTGTAACATACAAAATTAATATTAATTTAATAATATTGTAATTAGTATGAAGATAATAATATTAAAATTCATGTGTTAATTGAAAAATATTTAATTCTAATAAATACCGATAACTTTTCAGCGCTTCGTAAACGGCTCCAAGAAGAATGATGCCAATTGCTGAACCCAAAACTTCTTGCCAGTTTGTCGTTTGCCATTTGTCGAATAAAATTGTCTCCGTAACGCCAAAGTGAAATGACATCTTCAAACGTAAGTAGAAAAAAACTTAAATAGTCTATGAATTTTCTTTCTCAAATTTAAAAAAATCCATGAGTTACAATTGCAATTTTGAGTAATAATCAATTATTTTATCACTTATTTTTGTATGAATTTTCGTACAATTTTTTGATAAAAATTGATTTGAAAAAGAATTTCAGTTAAAATTTTAGAAAATATTTGTAAAATTGAAAGAATTGTAGTTTTATTTTTTAGAAATTCTAAAACAATGAGGTTTTGAAAAAATCGATATTAAAATTTTTTGATATTAGTTGAATTTTTTCAAATTTAATTGAAATCAATTTTTTATTTCAAAGAATTTTATTTTCTCACTTTAAACAATTATTTCTAAATATTATTATATTTTTTTTGAGCATTGTAACTAAAAATTAGGAAAATAATTAAATTTTACAAAAAATTTTCTACTTAATTCAATTATTGTTGAATTCTAATAGAAAGAATTGATTTAAAAAGAATTTCAGTTAAAATTGTGAAAAATAGTTGAATATTAGAATCAACAAAACATGAATTTTAAGAAATAATTAAAATTTAAAAAGGGTTTTAAATTGAAATCTTTGAAAATTTAATCGCTGCAGTTGTAATTTTTAGAAATAATTAAATTTCGAAAGATTTTACATTGAAAGTATTTGATATTTCAATTAAAATAAATAACAATAATTTTTAAAATATTTGTTAAACACAAATTATTCAAGTTTTCAAGTTTTAATGTAGAAATTCTAAAATAATTAGGTTTTTGAAAAATTGTAATTAAAATTTTTTTACGAAGATAATTGAATTCTTGAAAATAAATTTAAAAATTGAAACAATTAAAAGTTTTGTCAAATTTGATTGAAATAAATTTTATCTATATTTTAAAGAATTTAATTTTATTTCTAATAAAAATTGTTTTGAAATATAATCGTATTTTTTAAGAATCACATTTCGAAAAAGTATATTTTTTAAAAAATATCGCAATATTTTTAAAGCAATTCATTTTCTTATGTAAATAAGCGAAATTCGTTTTTTCAACCTACATTAACGTAATTTAATCAATAACTCTTTTGATATGGATTATTCTGAATTATTAATTAACTATAATTATTATTATTGAATTAATAATTTATTCCACTGCATTATTACAATGTTATAATTATTAAAAATATAACAATTATCATAGATTACAATTATTATATTTTAAGCACGTGGTTTTCGTTTCTTTAGTTTAATTTTTTAGTATATTGAAAATTTTTAATTTCATTTAATTATTTATTTAATTTTTTTTACATGAAATAATTTTTTCTTCCATTATAATAATTACAAAGAACTTTTTCTCGATTTTTGGAAGATGATGCGAAAAATAAGCAAAAGGTTCTCTGTGAAATTCTTTTTAACAAAAATGATTATTTTTGAGAAAAGTATAAAAAAATGTTGTTTTAAATTCCATAAAGAGGTCATATTTGTAGGCCATGGGAATATAAATGTACATAATTTATATCTTCATCAGAAGGAATTTATAATGAATTCCTCGATGTAGGTGTCGCGATCAATTGTTTGCTTTGTGAATAAATGGATGCAATTTACAACTCGCAATTGTCATGCACATGAGAATTTATGCAAAAAAGAAAGAAAAAAGGAAAAAAAAGAATAAAATTGGAATCACATTTTGTGATGTTTGATCTAGAATATTTCACACTTTAAAAGAAAAAAAAAAGAAATTCCTTTTGTTTTCAGAATCTATAATTTGTTTCGATTTTCAGATTGGATTCTCACAAATATATACAGATATAGATGTGCATGGATTAAAGTAAAACCCCGGAGCATGCAAATAATTTCTCTTTAAGTAATCGTATACATGGAACTGGAACTCGTAAATATATATCAACAATCGTTAGTCTACTTTTGGAATGTGGAAAAATGAAGAGAGGAAAAATTGTTTTTAATAAACTGGTGAATGAATTTTTTACTTGAATACAAGTTTTGTTAAAATAATTAGTTGTGGATAATTTTATTGAAATAACTTTTATTTAATTTGGATAATTTTTATTTGACTTGAATAATTTTTATTTGACATTCGGAATACAAATAAAGAAAAACAAATACAAGAAAATATTTACAGAACTCATGGAAAGAATATTTGAAATATATTATCTGAAGTATTTAAAAATTTTTTTTTAATATTACTGAATAGATGTAAAACTTACAGAATGCATTTTTAAAATTTTGAAAATCTCTCTTTTACTTTATTGAAACGTGTCACTCATGAAGTCATTATTACAATTGAAGGAAAAATCAAACCTGAATTCATATAGATATAATTACGTTATCAAATATATCTTGATAACATATCATAGCTATTAGAAAATTTTGCCTTCACTTTTATATAAATAATAATCTAAAATAATTGTTTGTGTAAACTAAATACACTACTTTCAATGAATTGCATTTTTTTCAATAATATCGCAAATTTTTTAAATTATTTTTCTAATGTATTTTCTTTTTTTTAGGAATCGATCCAAATTGGAGAAAATGTTCACAGTCCCGGGAGAGATCAATTATTTAAAACCGCGATGTTTTAATGGTTCAATAATTGAGAAAAGTATTTTTTTTTTGGAGTTATGAAGTTCCGGAGTCTATGGAAGATTTCGAATTCCATTTTTCTTTCAATCTGATGCGGATATCACAATGGCAAAACTTCTTTCAAATTCAACATGATTTTAAGGTATGAAATTATAGTTATTAACTATTTTTATTTGTTTTAAATAATGTTTTTTATTATTTATTTATTTTTACTATACATATAACAATTATTATTTTGATTTTACTCAATGCAAACGTATTGACAGAATATTTATTAATTGAAAATGTTAATCTCCAATTGTCAAATTTATTAATTAAAAATAATTGAATTCTTTCGAACAATTAATTGAAGTTTCTGAAAATAATTTAATTTTTTCGAAGCATTACTAAAATTTTTTGAAAATTATTGACTTTGTTAATAATTGTAATGAATAATTTTATTATTAAATTTTATTTAAATTATTGATAACAAATTGAATTATTTGAAATTATTGAAAAAACTGTTACAGTTTTTGATAATAATTGAATTCTTTTGAAGCAATTCTTTAAATTTTTTGAAAATGTATTTTTAAAATAATATTAATTGAAAATTTGAAAAGTAATTAAATTTTACGAAGAATTTCTTTCAAGGTTTTAAAATAATCCTTTTTTTTAATAATATTGTAATTAAAAATTTGATTACTGAATTTTATTAACATTTTTTGTAAATAATTGAATTCTTTTGGGAAATTTTATAAAAATTGTATATTAATATTTAGGTATTACTGAATTTTGATTTATTTATTAATATCTACTGATTGTGGATATTAATTTACAAAATAAATAATATTTGAGCGTGTTTGCAATTTATCCGAGTAGCTATAAACGAAAGTGTGAAAATTAATCCATTTCCACTGGAATATTACGATTTGAGAACATAAGGAGACGAAATTGTAGGATCTTATAATGCGGCTTACGTTGAAAGGGCGTGGAAACTTTGTAACGAGTGTTGATCTTGTCACTTATTTCTTTGAGGGCACACGAAGTATTTTCGTTTGAGTTGCGAAAGATGTGACGAAAGCTTCCTACTGTTGCACATAATGCTGCGCGAATAGTACTCTCGTTCTGATGAAGATCATTTTCATATTCACAAACATCTTGTTTTCATCTTTACTGAAGTCTGCAACGTTTATATTATTCAACGATTTCAGAATATTTCTCTATTGGAAATTTTGAAATATATTCTATATCTGAACTAATTTTCGTAAATATTTTTCTGCACAAATCACAAAGTGATTAACGATTTCAGAAGATAAAATATCTTTCTATACAAATTTAAAAAAATATTTTTTTAGACAAATTCTCATATTTTTCTAAACAACTTTTCATAAATATTTGACGAATTTTACAACGTTTATGATTATGATCCATGATTTTGAAACAAAATATATATTTTTCTATACAAATTTTGAAAAATATTTTTCTAAACAAATAAAAAAAAATATTTGTCTAATTAGATTTTCTTAGATATTTTTCTCAAAAAGTTTTCATAAATATTTTTCTAAAAAAATTGTAATAAATATTTTCTAAACAAATTTTCATATTTTTCTAATCAAAACTTCATAAATATTTAGCGAATTTTACGTTTATATGATTAACTATTTTAGAAGGAAAAATATTATTCCATACAAATTGAGAAAAATATTTATCTAAACAAATTTTCGAAAATATATTTCTACACCAATTTTAAAAAATATTTTTCTAAATAAATTGCCATAAATATTTGCTAAACAAATTTTGAAAAACATTTTTCTAAAAAAGTTTTCGTATTTTTCTAAACAAATTTTGATAAATATTTGTCGAATTTTACTTTATGATGAACTATTTTAGAAGGAGAAATATTATTCTATACAAATTGTTGAATATATTTATCTAAAAAAATTTTCGAAAATAATTTTCTAAACTAATTTAAAAAAATATTAATCTAATTAAATTTAAAAAAATATTTTTCTAAATAAATGGTCAATAAATAATTTCTAAACAAATTTTGAAAAATATTTTTCTAAACAAGTTTTCATATTTTTTTGAACAAACTTTCATAAATATTTGTCGAATTTTACGTTTATGATTAATTATTTTAGAAGAAAAAATATTTTTCTATACAAATTGTGAAAAATATTTATCTAAACAAATTTTCGAAAATATTTTTCTATATCAATTTTAAAGAATATTTTTCTAATCAAATTTTCATAAATATTTTTCTAAATAAATTGTCATAAATAAATTGTCATACCTAAATATTTTCTAATCAAATTTAAAAAAATATTTTTTAAAATAATTTCTGAAAGAAATATTTTTAAACGAACAAGTTTATTATTTTTAGTGAAAAAATATTGTATTTAATTTTCTTTAAACGTTGATTATTAACTTTCCTCGTTATTTTCGGGTATTTTGAATTTTTTAAAATAATTCTAAAAAAGTTTGTATTATAATTGAAAAGTATTTAAAATATTTTCTACTAGATATCAGGAAAAATAATTTTCCAAAAAGTTCAAATACCTCAATATTAAATATTTCAATTGATAACAATTTAAAATTTTTGTCCCAAATTGTTGTCAGTAAAAAAAATCTCAAAAAATGATCATTCATTTTTTAAGATTTTTTTTACTGTAAATAATTTTTCCATAAAAATTTTGCCTGACGTTTTTTTTGAGATTTTTGACCCAAATTGTTTTTTATTCGACTGTCTTCATTTTTTGAGATTTTTTTACAGACAATAATTTTTCCATAAAAAATGTTTGCTTGACGATTTTCTTCTTTCTTTTTCATAAAAAACTGTAGTTTTTTATTCGACTGTCTTTATTTTTTGAAATTTTTTTTTACAGCCAATAATTTTTCCTTAAAAAATTTTTGCTTGACGTTATTTTGAGAAAAAACTTGTTTTCATTTTTTGAGATTGTTTTTTACAGTCAATAATTTTTCCATAAAAATTTTGCCTGATGTTTTTTTTCAGAAAAAACGTGCCTTCATTTTTTGAGATTTTTGTCCCAAATTATTGGCAGTAAAAGAAAAATCTCAAAAAAATGAAGACAGTTTTTTATTCGACTGTCTTCATTTTTTTGAGATTTTTCTTTTACAGCCAATAATTTTTCCATAAAAAATTTTTTGCTTGACGATTTTCTTCATTTCTTTTTCATTTCTTTTTTGTGTGATTTTTTCTTCACAGCCAATAATTTTTCCATAAAAAATTTTTTTGCTTGACGATTTTCTTCTTTTTCTTTTTCATGCTTCATCAGAACGGGAGAATATATTATTTTACTGAATTAAGGGTGAAAGGATGATGGTGCGTGCGGCGCGCATTCCCCGATAAGGGACTTGATTTCGAGGTCTCGAACGCGAATAAGGGGTGCTTTTTACCTAGCTTTCATTGGCAAGTGGCAACCCCTCTCGCAATATCCCGACAGACTTCGACCCCTATATACATATACCGCCCTGGTCTGCGTCATATGAACGAGACGAACCCGACCAGGCGCAACCTGTAGCTGATCCTGACCGACGCGCCTCTCTTCTCTCTCTGTGCTGTGTGTCCGGAAATTCATCCACGCTCGATTCTCAAACTCTCGTTCGCGAGCAGTTCAGTCAGTTTGTGTGTCTCTCAGTGCCACTCTCACCGCTAAGCCGTTTACATCGTGGCTGAAAATAGTGAACTCGAATCATTAGAAAAAAAAAAAAAAAACTGGCATTATCTTTGAGAAAATTTGCTTTTTTTTCTATACTAAAATTTAGTGTCCCTAAAATTACGACCGGGTGTCAATGATAATATTGAAAGTGCAATCAAATAGTGTTTAGGAATTCTTCAATTTTTGCTGTTTTTGCGAAAATTACACGCATGATTTTTTATTGAGAACTTCACAACTGATTTCTAAAACGGTATGATGATGATGATGATAAAAATAAGTATTTATTTATTGCGGTTTTTATTTTTTTTTTTTTCATTGATAATTCGTGTTTATTTTTTTGTTATGTATACGAACTAATGTTGACAAAATTCTAAAAACGTCACTGAACGTTGAAGGGAACGAAAAATTATTTTTTCATTGTAGATATTTTTGAAAATTACTCAGTGTGGTAAAAATCCAAAAAGCAAAGTTAACTTTTTCAAACTTTCTGAATTATTTGTCGATACTCGACCTAATATTATTTTTTCTGTTTATTTTATTTTCAATATAAACACGATTATTCTTATATTACTATTATTATTTTATTATTTTTTTATTTTTTATTATTTGCCTAATTTTATTATTTAAATTAGATAATTAATTAATAAAAAATAGTATTTATTATTAAATAAACTATATAACATTAAATATTTAATTAAATAATTTAATAAATGACGGACGTAAAATTATTTAATAAATAAATATTATTATTTATTATTATTATTATTATTATTATTATTATTATTATTATTATTATTATTATTATTATTATTATTATTATTATTACTATTTTTATTATTTTTATTAATTTTCTCATAAAGTTTTGAACGAAAAATTTAGTTGTGCTCTAATATTTTTTAAAATTACTAAAATGAAATGAAAAATATTTTCACTAAAGAATTTATTTAGTTAAAATTTAAATTATAAAAATATAAACAAAAGACAGGGAAATTATTTTATTCAAATTTATGTATTCGGGGCAAGAAAAATTTATTAGAATCAAATTAATTTACTCGGTACAAGTGAAATTTATTTGAGTAAAATTTAAATAATTATACAAATTAGGTAGTAATTATTATTTGTAACAAAAAAAAATATTTATTACAAAAAAAGTTCTTTTTGTATTTATACAAAGATTTCTTTGTATAAATATAGAAAAAGAATTTGATTTTTTTATAATATAAATTTTTTTTTTGTCTTTATCGGCAATTTTTTTCTGTAGTGGAGAAAAAAATAATTTTCTATACGAGAAAAAGTTTTTTAATTTTTGTTTTTGAAGGGAGTATTTCATAATAGTGCATGTCTTGTTTCGCAGAATAGAGACGCGTGCTTGAAAGCATATTAATTAAGGAACTTTGTTTTGTGTATTTAACGCAACTATTTGAATATTTGACGGGAAAGAAAAATAAGCCTCAAACTATAGATATAATAAAATATTTACTAG